TTCAAGGAGATCTCCTTTGACACAATGCAACAGGAGCTGCAGATCGGAGCTGAGGATGTTGAGGCTTTTGTCATTGACGGTACAAGCGCTTCACCTCAAATTAATCTTTGCTGTCCACCCTCGTTAAGTATGCTGTTAGTTTCTCATAAGCCACTAATGGTGGGATGAAAGGGTAGTGATTGCACAGTGGTCACTGGTCTTCAACCAGTGAAGAAATGGCATATAACCAAACATAGCACTTTCAGTGTTTTATGACCCGCATTAGATTTCTCTCCTGTTTCAATTTCCAATTTCTTAAAGTGTTATTGTGTTTGTGGTGTTTTGCTTTCTCTTTATTCCCTATCGGTCTGCTTTTTCTTTCTAGCTGTTCGTACCAAGATGGTGTACTGCAAAATCGACCAGACACAGCGAAAAGTGGTTGTGAGGTAATACGTTTTTATCAAACTGTCGTGCACGACTTATTTGTCTTACATTTTGACCAAGTAAAGATCGTTATTAGTGGGGCAGTGATGGCATGTAGGCTTGGTATCAGTGTAGACCCAATGTACTTTACCTGGATCATCCAAAAAAAAGTGTTGCACATGTGTACTGTATTACCCAGAGGTTGGGACTGATGCGTCAGATAATATTTGGAAATTTGGGACTTCCATGTAGTTGTGGTTGGCTTCTTACCGGTATTCAAAAGTGAAAGTTACAAGTGAAACCTAGCTAAGATTCTGCTGAAGTAAAAACAACTTGAGGTTAAAATTTAGGTGACAGTTTTTTTTTTTGTCTTCTGTGGAGCCTCCTGTTTTATTTTTTTACATTGTTTTTTCAGATTGGCCAAAATTAGGCAGCAATGATTAATTAATTAGTATGTGGGTTGGTTTGTATTCTTGAATCTGGTCAAAGCAGTCTCTTTTGTCAGGGTCAAGGATGCTATGGGTTTATTTGATTCTGGTCTGCAGATAAATATGTGTAGAAACTAGACAATATTATTGCTCATACATTTCTTTCAAGGAAATATTTTTCTCTCTATAGTGTAGCATGGAAGACATGACCTTGGCCTGCATTTATTTTGTCAATTTAACATTCTTGCTTTTGTTTCCACTCAATCAGCCACAGCACACACCGCACCTTTGGCAAGCAGCAGTGGCAGCAGCTGCACGACAGCCTCAGCTCCTGGAAGGCCAACCTAGCAACCGTCAAGACCAGTCTGCAAGCCCTGTCACCTTCTGCTTAATTCCACCTTAACCCGACTGTCTAGACTGCCTGACCCTCTACTCTTTTCTGCTTTCCAAATCCTCAGACTGAAATGATCAGCTTTTATATTCATCCAATAAAACAACAATGGATATCACCCGTGATTGCTTCTTTCTTGTTAAAGAATTAAAGATTGCTGGAGTTATTCTGAAGTAACAGCAAGTTGAATAACAGCCGAAAGCTTTACTGTGCCATTAATGTATAAATATACATATAATCAATCTTTTCAGACAACTACCTCACTAGTTGCCTTATCATCTTTTCAGAAAGCCATACAGTGACTTTAATGGGAGCTTGTCCCCTAGCGGCTCTCAGCATCTGGTTTTGCTTAAAGGACAGCAGGCCTGTACTAGATGAGATGAACTGTTACTTGGGTTGAGAAATGTCCTGCAGTGAGAGGGTCACTTGTCTGGGAAAACATGAGAGGTGACAAAAGTAAAGTGAACTTAGGATGACCCTGTCTGCTGAGGTCAGAGCTGCATTACTGTAACAGCAACACTTAAGCTTGTGTGGTGTAGGCGCTGATTTACGGCAACTACAAATTAGAAACTGTCCACGGTAATAGATACAGTTCAGCTGTCGTCAGTATGACTCAATGTCTCTTGATGTGTCTTAAAAGTGGAAAAACTAGGACCTCTAAATTCCAGTTTTTAAGTTCACCTTGCCTTTGCCCATTGATGGAAAGTGCCATTCATCCAGAGCATTAGGATGTGAACTCTAATGATATATGGCCCAGGCATTAGGTGTAAAAGGGGTCTGTTGGAGTTCTCTCCCTCTGCGGCTGTGATGAAATCAGCACAAACTGACAAAGTGCAGACTACTGACATAGCACTCTTTGAATACCCACCCCCCACCCCTGCGCTTTTTCTTTGACTAATAAAGCCACGGCTCAGTGGGTTTACTTTTTTTTTTCTCATTCTGTACCGAGTAAAGTCATAATCTGATCATTCCAGCCCTGCCACTCAAATATTTTTTCTCAGATTAAATAGGCATTAGAAGTATACATTTATTGCAGCAGTGTGTTCTTTTTACTATCATGCCAGAGGTCTGCAGAGGCTCACCACTCACTTCTGTCCAGTTGTCCACAGGGAGCAGCATCTCTGACTCTTATCAGTGAGTGTAAATCACAAAACACGTTCTCAGGAGCATAACCTCATCACAGTCACCCGCAAGGTGGAGTGTATAGCTGGAGATAAAAACTAATGTGACCAAGGTTCAGCAAAATGTTTGCAAACCTCCAATCTTGGTTTCCATCTTTCAGCATATTCTCCTTTTTCTCTGCAAGCAATTGCTTCTCAGCTACTTTTCTCATTCTGGATGGTGATCTCCCCCTCTCTTCTTGTCTCTAATTTGTCTCACTGACTTTAAATAACTGTTTTGGGGATGGTCTGTCATGTGAGATTTCCCAGATGTAAATATTGCGTGCTGTGGTTGGTTTATCTGGTGCAAAAATCACAACCTCTTCGTATCATAGTCAGATAGAGGTACTTCTGCATTGTTCGCTGATGAAAAAAGCAAATGATTTAATTGGAAGCTGAGCTGCCTAACTAGGCCGTTTTGCACATGGAGCTCAGGTTATCAGCAGATGTGGAAGGAACTAAGTACATTTACTCCAGTACTGTATTTACTGTATAATTTTGTAACTTGTATCTTGTTGAGTTTTTCCATTTCCTGTTAATTTATACATGTTCCACAACACGTCAGAGGGAAATGTACTTTTCAACGCCACTACATTTGTTTTCAGCTATAGATAATAGTTACCTCTTAGATTAAGATTTAACATTTAAAAACATGAATTTAATCTTATAAAATGTATTGTTCAAGTTCCAGTGGCTTCCAACCTTTCTGGTCTGTGAACTCTCAAAAAAGTGTAGTTTGGGCAGATTTAGTTGAAGTGCAGATTACACTTATATTGTTTCATTTAAGGAACTGTTTACCAAACAGATAAAATGAATCAAAATTTCACACTGTCAAAGCAAAGATTCTTACTCCAGTAATCATGTCATGGCCCCTCAGATTTATTTTGTGACTATTTGGAGGGGGCCCAACCCCTTGATTGGGAACTACTGGACAAAACTAACTGAATATAAAGAATAAAAACTAGTTCCACCTTGACCAGTTACAACATTAAAATGTTATTTACAAATCAAATTATTTGCATTAACTATTATTATTGTAATATATAATAATATGCCAATTATCAACAAGCAAGCAACAAGCATTTTTAAGTTTGATACTGATGCATTTGGCTGACAGATGTTTTTGTTTACTTCAGTAGGAATTCAAGACTTTTACTTGTAATAGAATATTTTCACATTGTGGTATTGGTACCTTTACTTAAGTAAATGATCTGAATACTTTTTCCACCAGTGGTCACAATCCACCGTGTTTGTGCACAAACTCCATGAGCTGATGTAGAATCACATGGATACCCCAGCAGTGAGACACTATTAAGCAATATAACATTGATATGGCAGTATGTGGTGTAAGGTGGCAATATCATCTGACATCACACACTAGATAAAGTCTCTGACAGTATCCAGAGTCAACACAGGGGCTCTCACTGTACTTCAATTAGCACCATGCAGTAGTCAGCTAGATAATGTTCAATTGCATCCTATCTCTGCTTTACATAAACACTAGCCAAGAGGCCCTGAGGCTCAGTGGCAGATGTGTATTGACAGGGAGAGTGTGAAACATAAACACTATTATGGAGAATGCTTTGCCAAACAGAATGGGAAACTTTATCTTCACTGTGTTGCTGCATGTTTTACTGTTTGTGGTGTCTCTTAAGTTGCTATAGTCACCATTCTTTGTGGGTGAAAAAAGCCAGACTAAGTGTATTTTATCACAGATGACTCCGGAGCCCATTACACAACCTTTTCCCATACAAGGCCCGTGCATATTAGAGTAGTCACCGACTACCGAGCTGCTGAGAGAGCAGAGGTTTAGTGCTGATGCAAAGATCCCAAAAGATAGCATCACGTTACAAAAGTAATTTGCGTCCATCCGTTAGAAGTGAGGATAAACATTGTAAACATGAAAAAGGCATTGAGGCTGAAGCAGTTCAGATGTTGAGGCCAAAATATGGCATCCGTCCCTTTTAAAGGGTCATTAAAGTAAAATGACCCTATAAATCCTATTAACTAGTAGACAAGATCAACCAGAGGTTACGCTTAAGGGCCAAATTTGTTACACATGGTAGCCCCATTTTAAGTTAAAATGTGTTTTTTGTTTAGTTATTGTGTAGTACCATTTAAACTACAGCATTAAGCTCATAATGTTTATGCAGGTATATATACAGAGAGACAGAGAGAAAGGGAGAGTGTGTGTGTGTGTGTGTGTTAAAAAGCCTTCAGTGGTGACATTTATATACGTCTTTTGTAAGAAATGAATTTACAGTTTTGATATTCAGTTGCTGACTCTTTTTCAGAGCAAATTTCTTAAATTGTAACCATCAAATAATCTTATAGATATACAGCAACATCATGTCACTGAGTACTGCTTAGGTATGACCAAGAGCAAAGGGCTCAAACTGATCTGGCTTTGGGAGGAGTAAGGCGTGAGGAGTCTGACTCAGAGTCAGAAGTCAGATGATGCATGTGTAATCCTATTTAACACTTTGGTGTGAAAATACTTGCTGAAAGCTACTTTCACTTTCGTGGTTTCAGCTGCCATCTAGCGTCGACTTTTAGTTCCAGAACTTTTTTTTTAATCACATTTTCCAGGTAAACGCGATCGATTGGTTCAGTCTGCGCAGGTAGTTTAGGAAGCGCAGGGGCTACATCTGCTGGGAGTAAACAAAAACCTTCTCGTAACCTACCGGAACTGTCTTGGGTTCTTCAGGGACTACCACAGCTTTAACTATGTATTTTGTCTATAAATAATGAGCCGTGTTAAACTTTTTCAAAGTAAGGTGCAACACTGTTGTTTGTGACTATCGCTGGACGTTTCCTGATTCATCTTATCAGCGTCGAGGCTCGGACACGTACCTGCCGCTGCTTTTAGATTAGGTTTCATTTTGTCGGCTTTGAACTCTGACTATCATTATGAGATACTTTTCTTCATAAGGTAATGTGGAATTATGGTATCTGGTGCTTGGTGGTTACAGTAAAGTGCAGATATTGTAGTTTTTGAAGGAGCTGGGCGCGTTGTTAATAGTACTCTGCCCTCTGTGCTGCCAATTAATGCCACACCCGTTATCCGTGCGCAGGTGCACGCGTGACCATGTTGTTTCATCTGTTCATACTCCTTCAACTCCTGTCTTGTGGAGATCTGGCCTGTATGAGGAGCTTGCTGTCGAAGGAAGGATCACAAGACCAAGAAGGTGAGGTGTAAGCGCAAAGGAATCCACTTTACGCACACCACAATGAATCCATTTTTTACGCACACAATGAATCCACTTTACGCAACACACATGAATCCCACTTTACGCACACACTGAATCCACTTTACGCACACATATATGTGTAGTTCCCTGTTAATCGGCTGTTTGGACTTCCCCCTCCCAGTGTTTGTGGATGAGGGGGACGCAAATTCGTTCCTGGGTCGCCATCTGCTGTTCAACCGGTTTGACTTTGAGATGTTCGTTCCTGGAAATCTGGAGAGGGAGTGTTTTGAAGAAGTCTGCAATTACGAAGAAGCGAGGGAGGTCTTTGAGAACGTCCCTGCTACAGTTAAGTGAAGGTGTTCAGTGGGCTGCTGCTCACTGGGGTCATGTCATGGGCACGGAGAGGCAGGAGTTCACCACACTAATGATGGTTTTGTTTTGCAGGACACTTTTTGGAAGGAATACACTGAAGGTAAGAGAGATAATGAACTACCTCAATGTGATACTTGGATCATTTTAAATTCATGTTAACAGACACGAAAGTAGTGTACAGCTATATGTTGTTTACGGATACTTGTGTGTTGCTGTAGCTTGGATAATTGTTTACCATTGCTTTCAAAAACCTGTTTGACCACTTGTTCAGGAGCGCACAGTAGCACTGAAAATGACTGCTAGGCCTACAAGTCAATGTATTGCTCAAATTCCAACTGTGGGCCATACCTCGCCTTTGCAAATATAATTTGTTTTCGCATTAGTGATGAGGACTGAATTCTGAATAGATCTAATAACAGAATGCCTACTACTTGTAGAATATTAAACTATATTCCACTTCCAAACCAAAGAATCAGTATCAGATGTGTTATTCAGGTGGTTTTTAGAATGTCATACAACTCCCTGCCATTATCAGACAAGCTCAGCGCTGTCCAGTTATTCACTTTGGTCGGTGATGATTCACAGATAAGGACAAGCGTGGTCGGGTTGATGTGACATCTCTTTTGGTGGGACTGATCGCTGGTGGAGTGGCCATTGTTATCCTTTGTCTGCTGATCTGGTATTTCTGTCATGGCAAATGCAAGGACGACTTCAGCCGTGCAAGGTAAGTGAGAGAGACCTTTTTCACAGCAGCCATTTTGACATTATAATGGCTGCTGTGAAAAGGTATATTAGTGGCAGATACATTGTTTTTGCACACTTTCACTTTACTACCACCTTTTAGTTATAGTGCCCCCGAGACTATAGATGCCTATACAACTCTTTTGCATTATAAACTCAGGTACTTGAACAAACTGACGATTTAAACACAAAATATTTCAGAGCTTGGACATATGGACCATTTTATGGTATAATTTGATGCCACTCTTGTACAGTATCTATTGTTCTTACCTGTTCAGGGCTGCAATTGTCAATTAATCTGCAGATGATTTTCTTGGTTATCATTTTGGCTGTAAAATGACAATAGTTACAATTTCCCTAAGCCTAAATTTACATAATACATTTCTTGTTTTGTCTGATAATATATTCAGTTAACTATAATACATGACAAAGGAAAGCATCAAATACTCAAGCTGGAACCAGTGATTGCTCAAAATAGACAATGATGAAATGATCAATGAATTGTCAAAATTGTTGCAGAATTATATTCTATGAATCGACTAATAAATGAATTGCTAAGTTATTCAAGCTCTGCAACTGCTCTAACAATATGTTACTGCTTCTTGTTAGACATAGCACTGTGGAACCTACTCATGCAATGTCTTGTGTACAGCTGTATGACGACAATAAAGTTAACCTTAACCCTTGGTATTAAATAGGGCACATGTTAATAACATGATATACATGTCTACACTCCTCTCACAGCTCCATTCGGGGACGGCCGAGGAGGAGTAATGCTTCTCTAATAATGCGACGACTAGAGGAGGTGTCCTTACAACCTGTGCCCCCACCCGCATCGCCTTCCTGTATGGAGGAAATTGATCCCCCGGGGCTGCCGTCTTATGAGCAGGCAATCGCTAAAAGTGGACAGCACGACGCCCCACCTCCCCCCTATCCTGGGTATTTGCATATGCATTTGTATTTGCAGTTATGTCATAACTCACTTTTCAAGTTTTTCTTGCGCACACACACACACACACACACAATCCACATTGCAGTCACAGATAATTCACACATTTCTTTATAACTTACTTTTCTTGTTTTTGGTTTTAGCTCACGACCTGGAACTCTACGGCGGTAGTATCTTCGGGACAACATATCCGCACATCTGTCAATGTTGGGGAGAGAATTACCACATTTACACTACTGCTCTGCTTTTCATTGTATACCAATTTTGGCATCATCATATGATTTAAGACATTGCCTTATACCTTCTGTTTATTGCTCTGATTAAGCTTTCTTTTCTTTCTTTTTATTTTTCCCCTTGTACATTTCTAATCTTTCTGATCTGTTGGTGTACCTTTTCCCTAGCAGTATAATCATGTCCATTTTTAGCTCCCCCTTCTTTACCTGCTTGGTGCCAGCATGTAGTTTTTCACTGGCCTCTATTAACTATTTTCACAGTTGTGATTATGCTTTGTGACTCCAACCATGTGCTGAATAAGCTTAATAATACACTGACCCAATTTGCTGCTTTTTGTATAAATGAAAATGAAGAATCAATAATGTGTTAGACGTGAGAGCTATAAGTTGCTGCAATATTTAAGCCCGTAAGGGGCAGCTTCCATAGACACAGCATGTATAGAAGGTCTGAGAGAGAGAGCGACATTAGGATTATGTTCATTACACAACAAGTATTAATTGCAAGGGAAGAGAGACTGATCGCTTTATATAGTCCTACAGCTTCCTGTCTCCTTCAGAAGGACAGCAAACAGCTTTTAATGACATAGTGGTTGAAAGCTGTCTTATCTTTTAGTTTTTTAAAGTGCAGATTTTCTTGCTCCTTTATAAAGTTCTAGTGTGTCAGGAAATGTTAACTAATGAGAATGTTCTTCTAATATGTGATGTCTTTTTTTACCTTCAATTTCTACATTGTGGTTAATTATTAAATGGACTATAAATGGATGGAGGTGGAAGTTCTGCAAATTCAGTTTTACAACCTTTTACATTTATAAAACAATTTGTCCAACAGAGTCTCTCACTTACAGTAACTATAACTTGAAAGAGCATTATACAAGCCTGTTGTATGATGGTGTCTCATTCTCATTAGATGAGAACTACAAGAGATAAGAAGTTATTATGTCACTGTTAATTGCCAGAGTTTTATCCTGACAGTATGAGAACTTATCAAGGGCTTTGTTAAATCTGATCTGAAGCATAACTGCTTGTAATAAACATCTTTGAATTATGTTTTTAATAAAATGGATATTTTAATTATTTGATGTATTTCAACTGTGTGTGAGGTTGTGTATGTGTGTGCTCGCTCTTTACTGATTCCCACTTTGATATTTCCTGTTAAAATATGATCAGTGTTGAGGGTTTTGTCAGCTATATTAGATGTAGTTTTTTTAACTGGAAAAAAAAATGCTGAAACTGAAACACTGTAGGTAATGTAATTTCCATAGTATAAAGTGTTCAGACCAAAACAACTATTATCAGCTTTCATCACAACCTTTTTTGATTTTTTTTTTTTAGAAAATCAGTCAATATGACAAGTCAATGTATCTGTGAATACCAATGAGTTATATATTTTTTTATTTATGTATTTATGTACAGTTTATGTACAATAAAATAAAAAGATTGGGAATATGCAGCTGAGATCTCCAATTTCAGTTATCTTCAGAGATGCTAAATGGTTCAAAATAACAAAATGGCAAAAATCAATATGGCTGCTGGTCGAAGCAAAGAAGTTATTCCCAAAAAGTCTCAAAAGGGGATTTACAGTCTCCAGTGACAAAACGAAACAGTGGCTCTCAAAAATGTAGATATTTGCCTCAATGTATCTATAATCCACTGAGAATTAAAAGACACCATACCAAGACTATTTGAAATCTTTATATTTCTCTTATAATTTCAACACGTCATCCAAGCAGAGGCAGACTATATAACAAATCGCTTCATATGTGACTCATGAGGTTCTGCAGCGCTGTACAAAAAGCTGTTTTGTGCCTCAAATGCTCTCAGGAACCATCCAGGTGGGAGACATGTAGCTGAACTTTTTAGGTGGAAGGAAGGGAAAACTACAAAAACTTCCAGCCAAAGTCTGCAGTGCATCCTGGGAAATAAACTAACATGGGTACGTGAAACCATGCAGGGTTTGCATCGCTCTCCGTAACGAGAGATGGACAGAAATTAACGGAATCACCCGGTAGGCTAAAAGGTACACTTATCCAGGATAGAGCACAGCTTCGCGGCGGCTTTGCGGACTGTGTGCGGTGCTGGGACGGGACTGCCTGCTCTGGTCGGTCGGTGGGTCGGTGGGTCGGACCCGGGCTGCTACGATGTATGTCCGCTGCTCCACGAAGCTCCGTCGGGAAAGTGAATCTTTCACCGGATGATGGACAGGAACTACCCGACCTCCAGCTTTGCGGACGCGCTGGCTCCACCAGCACAGACCGTAGCTTCTTGGGCCTATGACCGCAACACAGCTAGTGTCAAGCCAAGGTAAAAGATGAAGGAGAGGGCACCTTCCGAAGGAAATTTCGGTGATGGAGGGCCTAGCTCTGGTCTTGGATCAAAGTGCACGGGTCCTTGCTGTTATTGGGAACACTGGAGGGACTGGAGAAATGTCGGGATTTGATCGGAGTTGTAACTTAGAGGCTTCGACTTCTCAGTGGTTTCTTAGCCTTTCTTTAACTGTCTCCCACCTTGCTAGGTTTCGCTAGCACACCGTCTTCTCAACATGGCCATGTACAGAGTTGGTACAAACTAGACTTGAATTTATTTTAGACACCTATATGAAGTTGAGCAGGTCGGCAGCTTAAACTAGCGTTTCGTGGGCTTGTTTTGTTGAACCACAGGTGCAAAACAAGATAGGTAACTAGCCACCGATGCTAGTCATGTCAGTTAAGGCACTTGAAATTAGTGGTAACAGCTATTGGTGTTGTTACCTCGGAGCTAAAAGGGCGACGTGTCGAAGCACTTATTTGTACTTATTTTAAGAGCTAACTAGGTGTCCTTTACTCTCTTTGACATTATTTTAACGTGCTTTACATCTTTAAAAATATATACATAATAAGCTAACGTTAAATGTAACCGCACCGTTGTAGAGCTCTAACTTTTGGGTCAAACTTATTTTCTGTTCTGCTACATATTGGTATTATGGAGGGGAGGATCAGGGTTAGTTACAAAGTTGTAGAATCTGATACAAATAAGTCAGATCTGTGTTCACAAGCAAGTTATTAAACCTTCCTTAAACATAAGGGAGAGGCTGTAGCAGATAAAGTAAGATGATCCACTAAATGAGACTACAGACAGAATCAAATCACTTTGGCTCATCAGGTGACTATAATGATTAATCAGGTAAAATATAGCAGGAATGTGCTGATTACAGGTTCAGAAAGACTAAGATTACCTCAGTTCCCCTTGTGTCATATCAGTGTGACCAAACAGCTGAAGGTTGTGGCTGTTGATTAGACTAAAAACACTGATAAATTGACACATTCCTATTGCTCTGGAAACTAATGATCAACTGATGCACTCAGTGACCACTTTATTAGGAACACATCTGAAATCTAACGCAATCCAAGACAAAAGCTCCGCCATAAATTCTACTTTTACAAAGATTTAAATGTTCAGTTTTGAGTCACACTGTCAGAGACGTAATAATTTACCACATGTTTATTATTGAGGTTGTGGTTTGCAGTGATGTTATACTGGACTGCATTTATGTCGAGCAGTGTTTCTAATGGTTCCCCCCTCCATTTACAAACTCGGGGGTAACACCTTGCAATATAACTCCACTGCTCATTTTATCTGGTATTGGTGAACTGGTATATTGGCTATATGTTTCATCAGCTTTATAGTCAAATGGTAGAAAAGTTGCATAAGATAAGATTAGTGGTGTGTGTGTCTGCAGAAGGCACCAGAAGAGGCGGATGACTCTCTTTCACCTCTGTGCTCCACAGATGTTTACCTTCTGGCAAAAAGGGAACACATTGGATCAGGCTGCCTGGATCTGATTATGTGTGATTTTATTTCTGTTTCCTATGAATTGGCTCCAAAGAGAATATAAAGTCATATGTCAGATATTAAAACCTTTTTTTCCTAATTGGCTCGGGCAAACATTTGTGGGTCCACTGAGTTTGTCACTCAGTAAATGGCCAAGACTCTACAGAATTAATACTTGAAAACCAGCGTGCTGTGTGTCAAGAGAAGTCATTTACGTGGGTCATGTCGTCGGGTGCTTCTGTGCAGCTTGTGAAGATGTATGTGTTTGTGTTTGTTGATGCAGTTCCAGTTATGGTGCAGCACACCTCGACGCAGAGCTCCTCCAGCGGCAAAGCTACACTTCCTCCCACCAGCTTCCCACCTACACTACATCACACCTTCCTGCTGCAGCAGGTGAGTTCTGAATGCTATTCACACTGTTTTTAGAGGGTCAGTTCACCCAAATTATAATAAACTTACTTTGACAGCCACCCATAGATGCATCTAGTCATGCAGATATTTTTTTGTTGTTGTTGTTTTTTTTAGATATACCTCTGTAATGCATGTGCCACCAATCAAAATGGTGGATGTCAATCAAAACATTGAAAAACTCTACAGTAGTGTGTCTGCATAATACATAGGTTTATCTGTTGACAGTGTTACATTTTTTTTCAGTATAAAGTAGAACTATTATAAACCTCATTTCTAGGTTGTTGTTTTTTTCTGCATGTCATTTTTAAACACACCGCAGACCAAATTCTTTCCACCTTTTATTGTATTAGGGTGGAGGCAGAAATCTCAAAAGCAGATATCTCAACCTTTAGCAAATATAACCAAACTTTATGCATGAGTAGATACTATAGCTCAACCAATACAGTATTTTTGCAGTTTGGGTGAACTAACCCTTCAAAGGCTCTCATTTACTTGACACACAGCATTGTGTTTTCTTTTTTGCCCTTTTCTGTGGTCATTTTCTATTCCTTTTTTTGACCATCAGGAGCACTTGACTCAAGCAGTAATACTTCTGAGACCTCAATCATGAGCTTCCTGTCAGCCATGGAGTCTAGAAGCCTTCAGGCTGGTCCTGTTAGTGCCTCACTGCTTCCTCCTTTTAGACCCCCATCATGGCCTGCTGGTGAGAACACATCCACTTATTCTGTGTTTTAATTACACACTTATTGTGGTTCAGCCAAATATTTCAATTATGATTATGTATGTATGTAGGCTCTGTATTTTATTTATTGTAACCTATACTACTGGTTTTATATGTGAGACTGAGTTGTGAACACATTTTTGGGAAAGCCAAGTTTATAAATGTTATTTATGTGTATTTGTGTTTCCAAGGATATTCATTTAATCTGCAATCAAAGTATACTAGTCAGTATAAGTATAAGAATACTATTGTGTACTAGGCCATATAATTTTACACATTTACAATAATGCATGACTGATGTGTCTTTTCCCCAAAAAATAATATAATGATCCTCAAAAAGACATCTACTCCTTCTACATCATTAAATGTAGTTAATTTCCAAAGTATTCCTGCTGGACACAAGATGACTCCCACTTCAGTGGTAGAGTCCATTCTCAGTGCATGAGCACTGGTGGTTTCAGCTTTCTTCATCACACCTGTAGAAGTTGCATACTGGACTAAAATTGACAAAAAAAATATTTCCAAACTATTTGTGATCTCACAAATCATGCTTGTTGGCCTGCCCCTTAAAATCAGGTTTTCCATGCGCACAGAGAAACTTTCCACTTTCAGCACATGAATGTGAAAACATCCATCTAGTGTCGCACTCCGCATACACGTCATTCTGCACAGTGAAGCCCAAACGTTCAACTGTAGGAATAAGTAGAAAAACGTTTTGAGTGGGAGGGGACTTTAAAGACATGGAAAAATTGAGTTGGTTGGTGATGTCAGTATTTCCAAATTTTTGGTTAATCAAAATTTTATGGATTGTACGGATTTGTATGGATTGTAATTTATTGTACTACTATGATACCACTTCATGTTGCCTGTCCTGTCCTTATATTGTCTATTCTGTGCAATGCAGGTACCAACTCGTCTACCACAGAGCTGTATTTGACCGGTGCCCTGCCTTCTACTGCCACTTTCCCCTCTCCTGCTGCTCTGTCGTCCTATCAGCACGCTGGTGCCTACCCTTCCAGGAGTTATGCTACCAACCCTTCCTTGGCTCTCCAGGATCCTGCCTTCAGCACTTCCACCAATGGCCTGTTTTCACACCATGACCCCCTCCTCCATCTCAAATCAAGCCCGACTGTGCTCCCCACCGCACTGACCTTCAACCATCTCTCTGCCCCCACTTTGGGCTCGGCTCTGCCTGTGCAGTCCTCCACTTACCGCTCAGCCCAGGAGTCAGCTCCCCACCTCCTACAACCCCAGTTCAGCCTGCTACCTTCTGGTCTCCCGACCCCTCACGGTGCCCCGCAACCCTACGGGGCCACGGTTTTCTCAGGCTCTATTGAAAGAGCTCTTCAGCGCGAATGTAGTGTAATTAAACACCACCAGAGGCCTTCCAGCGCAGCCTCTGAGCAACTGCCCAATTCAGAGCACTCCTTACAGGGGTACTTTGGCTCTGGCAGTGATGTGGATGTGTCCTACCAGCAGGACCCATCCCGTCAGACCCCAGTGTCCTGCAGCCCTTCCACAGGAGCAGATTCCTCTCAGGGGGTCAGTCGTGCTCCACAACCCAAAACAGACGCAGTAACTCAAGCTTATTCGTCCACTTCTTTGCCGAAGGCTAAAGACTGCTCTTCCAAACTAGCTTCACACACTGCTGGGGGTGAAGAGAGTCACAAGCACTCGCAGAACCATACCCGAGGGTCTCCTGAGCAATATTCCTCCCCAGGACAGAAGCAGAATTCGGTGATTGCTAATCAGCAGTCGGTCCAGCTATCCAACCTAATGTCTAGCAGTCTGTCTCAAACCTACATCACCCCCCACACTCAGTCACAGCCCTCCCATTCTACCACAGAAAAACTTTCCCCCCTATACAAGACTCTCCCTTCCCTTTCCAGCCAGTCTGATAGCGTGGGATCTGTTAGTCAGACTCTTGTTTACTCCTCCAGTCCCGGGCTGAGCCAGGAGCAGGAGATCCAGTATGGAGCTCAGGTCCAGGGCTTGTGTCAGGGAAATCTCTCTGAGAGTTACCCCACATCCCACTCTCAGGGTGCCCCGAATGTGACTTTTACATCTCAGTCACAGGGGCAAGCTTCGGCGACTCAGTCTCAGAGCTACACCACAGGACAATCCCTTAACCAATCCCTGAACTCCTCTTACCCAGCCACATGTGTGCGAAATCTGCCCACATCAAATTCTACACAGGACTACACTCTCATGCAGGCCTCAGTGGGAGGTAAAACACATGACACTCTGTCCCAGCAGCAGACACAGGCCCATAAATACATTTTGTCTGCACCATTGCCTACCTACTCTTCAAATGCTCAAGCCTTACAGAATAATATCAGATCATCAATACAGGATATAAAGCCAACATATGGCAAACAGAAACTTGAAGAGCTTCCTATCCAGGACCTTGATGCTCTCCAGCAGGCATCTATGGAGGCCTCTGCCGCAGCTAACAATATGTCCGCTCACAACAATGTCATCTATGTGGTTTCCAAAATGGACGATCATCACAAAACACAAAGTGTTATCCGAAGCAATTCACGCTCTGATGACCAGCTCATGGGACTAGGTCATACAAACGCAGCACAGGTAAAGGTTGAAAGGATGGGTGCTTTGAGCCAACAGCACATTCATCTAAGCAGTGCCAATGGTCAGGAAACTGCCAACACAAAAACTACAAACTCCAGTATTATATCTTCACATGTGCCCCTTAGCTCAGAGCAGCTCAAGCAGCTTCAACTCAAATCTCCTGAGCCACATCAACAAAACCACCAGAATCACAGTCAGTCCCAGAGCCAGACCCCAGCAGGCCACACCCAATTTATCACCGTCCCCAGCACTCAGGTTCTCCTCGAGCACAACCAGATGATTCTGCTCCAGCAGCCCCTTATCCACCATGGTCAAAACACTTCAAAGGTGGTATCAGTGCAAGGTATCCAACCAACCCAAGATTTGGGCCCTGTTCACGTCCAGTATCTTCACATGGATCGAGAACTGCTGGGTCACAGTGTCACTGAAACCCAGAGTCAGCAGGGCACAGTAGTGTCTGAACAGAGCTCAGGGTGCCCTGATTCCGCTAAACACCACTACAGCCAGTCGGCAAATCAGCAACCAAATGACGCCAAGAACCACTTTACTCTCAACTCCATTTGCTTCCCCGACTCCATGCTACTCGCAGATGACAGAAATATTTTGTCAAATGTCGACGACATCCTGGCCGCCACGGTGGCAGCCTGTGGCGTCACACCACAAGACTTTGTCAAAGCTACATCCTCGGCTGAGGCTGAAATGGCAGTGATGGCAAGCCCAGTTGATTCTAAAGGTCACTTCCAGACTGTGGATATAAGGCACATGTCCCCTAGTTTCTCCTCTGCCCAACATCCAATCATCACCAACACTAACTCCCACACCATGTCCATGACACTAAATGGAGCCCAGATGAGCACAGACTGTCAGGGTCAGTCCGTTCACCACAACAACAGTTCTGAGCTTGACACAAATGGAGATGGTGGTAGCTCTGAGAATGACTATCACTTAGCCGGGCAGGTGTATGACCCCTCAGGTCTGCAGAACAGAGTCAAAGGGCATGCGAAGTGTATTAAAACAGAGGATGGCCTCATGGAATCTCCAGGCGGTGAAGACTTTCCCAAAAAGAAGGCTCGCTCCAAGTCCTTGACCAAACCAGGTGGTCCTGAGGAAGATAGCGGACAGGCCAGAGCGGCCAAGCGCAGCGGGCAGGCAAAGCGGCAAAACTCCAGGGGTAGTGACGTTGGTTCCCCATCTTCCTCACAGAGTGTATTTGATGGTTGTCCACAGCAGGAGAGAATCAGACAGAAGATCCGTGAAGTGGAAGAGAAACAGCCAGAGGTCAAAACCGGCTTCATTGGCTCCTTCCTTGACTTCATCAAATCTGGCCCCAAACAGCAATACTCTCCAAATCCTACACGAACTATTAGTCGCCCGAGGAAGCCCTGCACCCCGTCCAAACCACCGCTATGTACTTTGCCTGCTCTGCCTTCCAAACTGCAGACTCTGCCCGGGCCCCTGATTCCCCAGGAGAGTCAAGGAGCGAGCTCACAGCAGAAACGTCTGGATGAAGATCTGCAAAAGAACTTGGAGACTCTGCCGTCATTCAGCTCGGACGAAGAGGAGAACACTGGGAAAAACCAGGCCCTGAGGAACAGCATCAGCTCAGCGCTTTCAGCCCTGGATGAGTCTTCGGATCGGAAAACCAGGACAGGTAATGATACTCTGTAGAGCTGGGAGATAAATCGATAAATTCAAATTTAAGTTTTTAAAACACTGCAAAAAAACAGGGCTGAATCGTAAAATTGAGATTTAAACTACAGATGTTGTTATATATACAGACTAAAACATCCCAAGTCCTCTCAAGTCACTCATCTACACCGAACATGTAGAATTATTTTCCCTAATTTAGAAAAATACCTATGAATACTATATTCCATTTCTGCCAATAGATCATCATAACTGTTACACCCTGGCCTTTAAATATTAAAACCACATGTTTAAATCTAGTATTAATCCTTGTTACATGTTGTCTCTCCTCTGTTAATGATTCTTTGCAAAGTCAACAATATCCTCTTTGTGCTTCAGACATCAGTAATACCCTCACGTGTTCATTCTTTTGGTAATATGCTATAATATGCATTGTCTTCTGGATTTTTTTTCCCTCTTTGATGAATGCTGTCTGAAATCTCTTGATTTATTGTACACGTGAGGAATCGAGTCGAGTTTGTTTGTTTCAGAAGTTGCTTTTCTTCAACGCATTCATATTTGCAACTCTTCTCCAGATAACCAAATCCCTGTTTCCATGATGAAGCCAAACCAAGTACCCACCATGCCACACACTGTCACTGAGAGCTGTTTGTCGCAGGTCACCGCTCCCATACAGACGACAAATACCATCTCAGGAGCGACTGCATTTGTGGCCAAAGAGGAGTCCAAAGAGACCCCACCGGGCCAGCTGGCTGTACAGTTGATGAGTGTGGCCATCGAGGGACTGACTGACGAGGAACTGTCGGACAGCGGAGGGGAGGGGATGTACCGGGAGAGAGACGAGTTTGTTGTCAGAAATGAGGATATCGAAAACTTGAAGGTACGGTCAGGAAAAACCTGGGCGGAGAAAGAACGCTTGTGAACATGTATTTTAGTGTTCAAGTGGTCAAAGTGGAAAGGGTTGCACAGATGAGGATGCTTGTCATGCACGTTGAATGTGACATGTCAGAACTGAACTACGTATATTGACTTGTGGCAGTGTAATGGAGCTTATTTTAATGAAACATCTGCCATTGAACATGCCACCCACCACTTTTCTCGTAACGCGGAAGGTGTTGAGGAAGGATAGTCACACACCAGACTACACACTGGAACATTAATTGTTTCATTTTCTTCTACTGCAAGCGTTAATACTGAAACCTGTTCTGCACCGTGTCAATGTGTCCAGGTGACAATGAGAGCAGGCAGTGAACCTCCAGCCATCTGGAAAGTCCAGAAGGCTCTGCTGCAGAAATTTGTGCCTGAGTTGAGAGATGGAAAGAGAGTGTTCTCAGCCACGAACAGTGTAAGTAAAAGCAGACACGTCAGTGTGCACTTAGCAGTATTTGATTGTTCAAATTCTTTTTCTGGATCAGGTAACATGTTTCTGTTTGTGTGTTTTCTTTGTAGTATCTTGGATACTTTGGTGACGCCAAGACAATGTACCAGAGGGTATATGTGAAATTCTTGGACACGGTTAACAAAAGGGAGTATGTACGAGTTTGTAGTCGGAAGCCACGCTGCAAGCCTATGAACTCGCTGAGGTACGCTAAGCTTATTAACTGATGTAATTCAATTTTGTTTGAACAGTGTTGCAGTGATGTAACAGGCTTTGCTCTGCCACCCAGGGGCGTTCAGGTGAAAACTTTGCTGGGCTTGACAGCCCCCCCTTCCTTGGTCTCCCAAAGCCAAAAGCCTCGACCCAAACAACCCAAGCCCAGGGCAGAGCCACCACCTAAGAAGAGGAGGAAATGGAAGGAGGAGTTTTCACCCACTGCCTCAGGATCATCTGCAGAAGAAGGTGGTGAAGATGATGGTGAGGAAGCCTTTTGACTTCGCTTATTAAATCTAGTTTGGATATAAGCTGATATGATTTAAGTCTGAATCTCTTCTCGCTCTCATCCTTATAATCTTTGATCTCTCTCTCTCACATACTCACATACACACACACACTCTTAGAGTTAAACCCTCCAGTGCCATTTACTTCACGGTTTCTCAACACACGAACCATGAAGGAGACATTCAAGAGCTTTGTGGAACTGCTCATCAGCATTGCCTTAGATGAAGATGTGATGACAGAACTGGAGAGGACAAACGGTGAGTGAGTTGGCTCTCCTGGGAAATGAGCTACTGGCTTAATAGTAGGCCAGAAACTGAATGGAAAAATGTGTCTCCTCTTGTTTCAGATGAGTTACTGCTGCCACATATGAAAAGAGTAGATGGGATGATCACTGACAACAGGAAACGCCTGCTTCACAAACTGCACATAGGACAGGTCTTAAAGGTGGGTGTGTCTTAGAAACTGGATATTAATGGGCCGGTGTGAGTTCTCTGGGAAAGCAGTGGAAGAATTGTTTTTGAAAGCGATGATAGTTTCTAGCGTGACCCTCCTGTTCTGTGTCTTCAGACGGCTCTAGACAACTTCCCAGAGATCTCAGTGGTAACTGAACTGAAGAAGGATGGGGAAACCCCAGCCTTTAAGGTGCGTCTCAGTGGGAAGGCCTACAATAAGAAAACCATGAAGCCCTACAAGATGCCTAACAAAGTGCCACAGGTAAGACGAGATGATGTTTTTGTAAAATTCAGTGTGCTGTCGATACGTGTCCAGCAGAGGGCACAGTGTCACCATTTTGTGTTTCTCACTCATTCCTTTATTCAGATCACTGAAGCCACTGTTCCTTTCTCTGTCATGCTGTGTCTTGACATGTCCTCTAAAAGCATTTAAAGACTTTGCTTTTTCCCTCTCTAGGAGTATACGGTTGACCAGCAGAGGACTCAGTGGTTCTCTCTGTACCACTCTTTGCAGCATTACAAGTATCACACATATCTCATGTGTAAGGATGAGGTGAGACATTGTTGTACATGTGTATGCTTGTGTTGGGTTAACGTAGATTTTATTCTCTGGCGAGTAATATTTTGCCGGTTTAACTTGGTGATGCTAATTATTTTGGTGGGACTATGAACTGAGCTCTGTTCTGCCCTCCAGATTGCGTCTCTGCGGGTGCAGGCTGGGGACCTCGGGCAGGAGGAGACGGTACAGAAGTGTCTGCAGAACGGCGCTTGGGTAGAGGGGCTCTTTGATCGCTTCGGAGAGCTAATCAATCAAGTGCAGCAGGCCTGCCGATGATCAAGGCCTTGACTTTGGTTTAAAAGAGAGACTTAAAACAAGAAAGTCCAACACTTAAAAACAAGAGGATGCCTCCAGCTCAGACTGGCAGCAGAGAAGGATGGAGTGAATATCTCCTTCCAGCCACAGAGATATTTGAATCAGGGAACTGTCAGCCGACTTGCCTAAAAGACATGCGGAGGCCCGTGGCCTAAAAAGTGGCAGCAGGTGAACAGCGGGACAGCAGTAAAGTTTATAGGCTGCATCACTGCATCCCAGCAGGAAGCAGTAACTTGATCAACAGAGGACAAGGACTTTGTTTTTGGGAGCATTTTGGAAGACTTCTATTTAATGCTTCTCCTAGTCTTTGTAGGCTTTTGTAGTTACAAGCCCACTTTTTATGGGCCTTTTCATAGATTTATATAATTTTTGTTTTTATATATATATTTTTTGTTTTAGTTAAATGCCAGATCTTAACCAGTGAGTAGGCTATGCACTAGATAGAAAGTAATCGGCATAGGAAGTAGAGCACAGCAAATAAAAATGCAGAAATCTAAATTTCCTACAGTTATAACAAGCCTTCATCAATTATTTGATAAGTAGGCTCTCACACAGAGAAGTTGATTATGTAAAAAAAAAAAAAAGAAAAAATTCTATATATTATATACATATAACCGTAGCTATATACTGTTTGTAAAACATCCATTTTGTAATGGAGAGCCAACTTATATATAATGTACATTTTGTATAAAAGAACAGGGAGGTGGGAACTGCAGCAATTCTCTTAAGGGGAAATTAGTAACTATATACTGAATCTATATTATGGTTTAACTTTTGTGCTTCAAACACCCCATTGCTTATAAGATGCAAGTCAGTGCCGTTCCAGTACTGCTTTTTATGAATTTTGTTAATCAAATATTATTACCTTGACTTATCTGAGGTTAAACTGAAATAAATCAAAGTTGTCTTTATACTCCTTTAAACACATAGCCCACATTTTTATGACAAATAGATATATATTTTTCACAGAAGTAAATATTGTTATGTTCTCTTGTTCATTACAATTTCTGAGACACTTTTTCATTGTTTTTTTCACAGTTTTCCAAAATGGACTCTTTATAAGTCAGTTACCAATTTTATGCTATCAAAAATAATCTTGTTCTTTACAGATGCAGTTTGTAAATAAAGTGCCGCATGTGTTAGGTGTTGCTTTGGTATGTTTTGTCTGACATGGTTAACATTTCACAAATGATCTGGGGCTCGTGTGTGATGCACCAGATTCTGAAACGTATTACTTTAATACTAAAAATGCTGCAATATGATTCCTTAACTGCTGGATCACTATAATGACAATGAGCGATGGTTGCTGTGAACCATCGTCTCACTGCAATTTCTCTGACATAATAAATATAAAATTAGTTTCCTGATTACGTAACATTTGATTTCCGAAGTCACAACAGGTGGGAAGAAGGTGTCTTAAGCAAAACTCCAACATAAGGCTGCAGTCAACAGCATTTAAAACAGATGGAGCCTCTTGTTCGGCTCTCTTAAACCTCACAGGAACAAATGTGTAAATTTGACAATATTTAACCTGGAGTGCTCCGAGAACATGAATACACAATCACTGCCTTTGTGAGAAAAACGGATGGGTAGACTGCACGAGGAAGAAACTTTCTGAACAGGAGATTCAGAGCGCAATTTGTAGGTGTCAGTGAATTTCTCTGAAGTACTTTACCAGGAGTATGACTGCGCGCCAAGGTTGTTTGGTACATAAGATTCACTCCACTGCACAGGATCTGATGGATGTGTCCTTGTTGCTATTTCAGAGGCTATGTTGACAGCTGCCTTAGATGTTAGAGGTAAGAAGAGTGTGTGAGATTATCATCCTTCATTAGGTATTTTGTCACTGTCACCATTACAACTCTAAAAGCCTCAACAGTGAGTCCTAGTCCTACCAGGAAAGTCCAATCCAAACTCATCAGAACTGTACTACAGGTCTCAACCAAGCAAGTCCTAAACTCTAAATCAATTTTTCACAGCTCAGCTCAGAGAGGTCAGTTAGTGTTAAACTTCACCTGCTTGATGGAGTGTGCAGTTTATATTATGGAGGGGTAGGGGTGGGCATTGGAAGGCGCAAAACTTGTCGTGATGTTCGCCTAACATGATCTCATGACTAAACTATTCACTGTGAATGGGTGGTTGACTTTGTGTCGTCTGAGAGGGTCTTGAGCCTGTTGAATAAAATATAATTGTCCGGCCAGTCAAGCATAATGCAAAACGACTGGCAAACCCCAACAAACAAAAGTGTCTCTGTGCTGCAGCGACAGCTCTGTGAGGAAAGCCACTGTCCTCTGTCCTTTGGAGTTGCGGAGGATGGCCTGTAAGGCAAGCGTTTGAGATTCCAGCATGGGCACAACTGGGAGAGACAGATACTGAATGTCTGCTCTCCAGATGAAAAGCATATGAATTTTTAATGCACTGCATTGTTCCATATGTGGGAGACAGACTGAGAGGACCCTTGAGGCAGCGTGAGAGAATGTGAGAAGGGCACAGCAACTGGATGGCTGTTTGTTGGATACGACTGCAAAACACTGACTGCCTATTTATTTAGGAAATGCCCTGTAGTTAAAATTGTATGTGCTGTGTGAGGATGGTGTAGTTTTAAAGCTTTTTTTAACCAATCACGTACACACTTGCAAGGTGTGCAACAGAAATATGTAGGGGGGGTTACAGATTAATACTTCATCTGGAAGCTGCACAGGCTAACCTGACATGTTCCACGACAACTGAAGATCTGAATCTGAGCATTTGGCAGTGGTGGAAAGTAACTGAGTACATTTACTCAAGTACTGTACTATGGTGATACTTGGTTGTTCTATTGTATGCTACTTTATACACATATTCAACTTCAGCTCACAGGAAAATGTTGGGCTTTTTACCCCTTCACATTTTTTTTTAAATTTCTAGTTACCAGTACTTTTCATTTTTCATTACTTTTCCTTGTGGAGGCCCTTGTCGAGTTTCAGATGTCTACGAGTTCCACCACTTTTCCCTTTAAATTTATTAGAATAATTGTTTAAAGTCAAAAGAGATAAAACATTCACTTAATTCATAAAATTCTTACAGTTAAAGAATATTCAGTTCATATAGATTTTATGTCTGAGATTCTTGTTTTGTCTTTCCTGCCTATTTTTTCTTATGACGCTCAGGATGGGCCCCCACGTTTGGGATTAGACAAAGTGAGCTCAACCAGCTTCAACAATATAATGCTGCTCTGGTATTAACCATCTAATAATGTCATATGAGTCACAGAGTGAGAACTTATACGTGTGATACTTTTAAGTAGAATTTTATGCAGGACTTTTACTTGTAACAGAGTATTTTTAAATTATAGTTTTTTCTTAATTGAAGGATCTGGGTACTTCTTCCACCGTATCTGGGAACTTGTGTCTGAGTTTTTCTGAATCTAAAAAGTTTTAGAAAGGAATGTATTTCAACAACTCCACAGTAATGGCAGTGCTTTACACTGTGCCTACCACCTGAAAGCAAAGTGTTTAACATTTCCTTCATATTTTTCAATGTGACACTGGATCCTTAAACAGAAACTCGCATTGTGAGTTTTGCTTATTTTAATTGCCACCTCATAGAGAAAATTCCTTTAGCTAGTTATCATCAACATAACTGTAAACAAACTACTACTTGACTGACATTGCATGACCGATAAGTATGTAAGGGAAAGAAAGGGAAAATATGCAGGGCTTTCCGGGCACATGGAGAGAAGCAAGAGAGTAAATATTGCTTTGACCTTGTGGACTAGAATTTTTGATTGTATTAACCAGAGTGCTCTCTCTCTTCTCGCTCTCTCTCTCTTTCATTTTCTGTGTAGGTCTAACACATTTATCACACGGCAGCACTGAAGTCAGCTTTGTGGCAAGTTTACAAAACACCAGCACATCAAAATGCAATGCTCTGGGGAGTTGTAAAACCAGTTTTGCTGCTTACTCCAACCAAAGGCACACAGTTACCTTTCCTTTACGGCCGAGTTCCTGGTAAGACTTGATGGCTGTATCAATATAAAAATACATCATCTACAGCAACAGAAAATGTGAATCAACACATACAGCATGTTAAAGCTATAACCAAGTATCCTGAGCTTCTGTTCATTCAGTGCTCAGAGGTTGTTTGATGTCAGAGACTGACATAACACTTAATAGTTAATTGTGGTGACTATATCAACTGTTATTGTTAAATGCATAATGTAGGTGGACACACTGGAAACGGATTTGAAAAATGGTGAAAACTGAGGCCGAGATATCCTGACTTTTATTTCTTTGTATGGTTCAAGCTCCAACAACTTTGAATCCTACATGTCCCATAATGCAACTTTTGCATTCCTCCTACCTCATAAATGCTCTCTTCTTTTCGTTCTTCATCTTTTCAACCATCCAAAAGCTTCCTCCAGTCCCACAGATCATGTTATACAACAGTCATGGACTCATGAGCAAACTGACTGTCATGTGTAAAATGAGTGGAGTGCCCTGCAGGTTCCTTACAGCACCTTGCATTGATCAAGAGCAGCCAAACCGCATTGGAAGGTACGAGAAATAACAAATAAACAGGTGAACAGGACAGTAATCAAACCGGTTTGCCCCAGCTGCATGCCTCACCCGTTGCACCACACTTTTGTGTCACGATGATGGCTGTCTTCCTCTCAGTCTTCCCTTCAGCGACGGACCAACATTGTTTTTACAGTGTCAGCTTACTGCTTTTCCATTGACAGATTACACCTGAAGGTAGAAAGGAAGACACCAGGTGAGAATCTGAAATGTGTCCCTACAGCTCATGTGTGTTTACTCTGGGGTGTGCACGTTTTTTGTATGATGGCAGTCATTTCAGTTCAGTGATAGGCTGCCTGCATTATGATCCCAGACATGGTGGAACAACATCAGGTGCCACCTTAGCACCTGAGGCACCCTTTTGTGTGTTTTGTCCCTTTAACTTCCAGTCAATCAAACTTCCACATATTTTCTTCTCTTCTTATCTGTCCATATCTGTCTCACATGGCTGCTGCTGTTGAATTTTGCACTGTAGGTCTTATATCAGATTTAGCCAGTGTAGGCTTTCAGGGTGTGACTTGTTGAGTGAAAAGGTTAGGCTGTGTGAAAACTTCCTGGATGTTAACTGAAAGTCTTACATGACCAGTAAGAACCATTAGGAATGTGGAATAAATAGCTGTAATCATGCTGCTCATTGCTTTTGGCTGCTCTACATATATGTATTATAATGCTCTCACATGATAAACTCATTTCAGCCACCTGTTAAGTGAGTGTGAGTAAAACCTTCCGCTGGAGAAGCTTTTGGTTACACCGTGGTACTCAACAGTTGTATGCCTGACCATTGCTCTTCCTTCCTTTCTAGTTTCAGCTCCTTAAAGATTTGCCCAAATGTAAGAATAAGTGAGTTAGTGCGCCTTTTGTTCAACCTGAAGGAAACAGCGGCAGCCTCATTACCACGTTAATGCCCGGGCAGGGCGGTGATTGGGACATGAATAATGGATCACAGAGGGAGAGAGGGAGGGAGGGAGGGGACGGTTTCGGGGTTGACTGTACTTGCGTGCGTCACGTTGTGAATCGAAGACCAGGGACTTGGTCTGAATGGCTGTCTTTACAGTCACTGGAGGAAGTTTTAACGCACCGAACACCAGGTAGGTTAACACCAGTTTATTCTCTGGTAGCTGATAAAACCACAGGCTATGTTAATTCCCTGTAGTGTTTGAAATAATGTTGTGACCTGAAGAGTTTGTTATTGAGTGAGTTATTTAGTTCTGTATTCTGCTTCTGTTGGCTGTTTTAAGAAAGTACACTTTAATGTGTCCACTACTGCTCATTTAGATTTGACAGAAACTATTTAAATGTAATGTGCCAATACTTACAGGAATGTATTTTTACGCACACTTTGTGTTTGGGATTATTTGTGTTACTATTTCTAAGAGGAAAGGTGGTGTAATGCTAATCGAAGAGTGATGTTATGTCTAATCGAAATTCACCGTTTCTTAAAATAAGTTTATAATATTTAGCCTATATCCCACTTTGTAATTTAACCAAAATCTCTAAACACATATTCTAAAGTGTTGAAAGTATTAAAAACAAATTATAAGGCGTCCTTTATAACGGGTTTATACTGTGTAATTAATTTATTTATCAAAGTTTAATAATTCAGTATGTAGATAAGCTAGAACAGGGTTTTTGTTCTCTGGCATTTGTGCTCAGTTGCCGACTCAGCAGCTTGCAGCGCAGTGTTTGTGTTAAAAAACAGGTAGAACGGGTGTGTAGAGGGAAACTATACACTATATACCACAGAGGATAGGAGTGTTCAAATCCATACGGGCCAATAGTTTATCATAGTTCAGCATATTCATATTGTGTCCTGAGGCTTGATCCGTTTATCACTAGTCTCAGCATGTTGGAGGAATGGAGGTATCTGCCACAGGCTATTAACAACCTGCTGCTCTTGGTGTTTTCATTGCCTGGAATCGTTAGTCCTGTGTTTAGTGCAGCTTATGGCAGCAGTCCTTAAACATGTACCTATTGCTTTTGCTCTGCTGCCATATATCTACAGCTCCGGTTTGCAGATAGTCCCTGTTCACTACAGGGGTATCCCCATGTGTGAACTGCGCTGCTCCCTCTGCGATTATTTACCTCCACTGATGTGTGCAAACACACGGTGCACTGTTGTCCTTGGCTGAAATTCAGGTCAGTCGCCTCTTGCATCGTCCCTGTCTATCTGTTGGGTTGTTAGAAAGAGGACCGAAGGCACGGGGAAGAAGTCTGGCGTCAGTTGTACAAACTGGCCTCAAATCTCAGCCTGGCGCAAGCAACACGAGGTGACAGAGCACAGCCGGGTTCCCAGGATTGTTTTGACCCACACCTGACCCCCACTTCTTTTTTCCTTTTTAACAAGCATTAATGGATATTGATAAGATCCGGATTTATTGTGTGACTGGTAATCTAGGGACCCCTGATGGGATTCTCCAGATGGTCCTGCCCTAACTCCTAAATCAAGGATTTCATTCTGATAATGCAGTTTCTTTCTACTACTATGATAAAGTACATTAAGCTCCTGTGATATTCTGCATTTCATAGTGACTTTATCAATTTATATTTGCCTTTTGTCTTAAAACACTGAAAGATCCAATCCATTGCATTATCAATTTCTCATATTTCCCATAAACCCTATTATGCATGTAATCGTTCCAGGTGTTCTTCCTGCTGCAGCCTCAGTTGTTCTTCCCTGACATGCAAATCCCCAGTTCAGAACAGCTTCTTCTCCCCCAGAGGGAGACACGGTTTGACGTAGATGTGTCTCATTAATCAGCAGATCACCGAGAAATCTGCCACACACCTCTTCCTCTGTTCTCTATGAGCTGTTGTATTTTTTGAAATGAGTGGGAGCGAACATCTGCTTGCTGCTGTACCGTTCCCAAGTGTTTTTGTTGTCAAGATCTACAGATGGGTCAGTAATAGTATTTGTCATGTGCTGTTATCATAACATGGAGCCTGGCTGCCGCTGACAATACCTGATTTATGGCCTCTGGCCTCAGTGAGCCTCTCAGATCCTCCCCTAACATTTGCTCAACAGGCTTTAAATGTTTCCTGTTGTGAGATGAAAGCCTAACATCTTGCTAAGGCCGGCTCTGCTTTCCTTCATTGGTCGGACTTGTGGTGGATAACACACAAGGCATGCGGCCAGATGAGATACGTCGAGAATGATGTGTTGAACGTGTCAGTGTTTGATTGCATGAATCATCATCTGATTTGTGTGCATGTATTAGTAGCAATGCAGCACATCCAGTGGAAAATACAACAGGAACTTATCAGAATATCTCTTGTGTGAGATGGCTCACAATATGATCATTGTCTCTGTTTCCTTGTGCGTGATTGAGTGTTGCAACCTGTGTAGAAAGATTGCATCGGGTGTCTGTTCTGGTAAGAAAATTAGGCACAGATTATGCTTTCTGTTTCTCTTAACCTACACCGGCTGATGGCGGTATTGCAGTAGTAATCATCTGTTAAGTTAATTTAAATGAAAAGGTTGAGCTTACTGTACTCAAGCATGCCTCCAAAGAGGATTTGGGCTTGGTTTCTACCCTCATGAGATGCGCTGATCTTGGACCATGTGCGGTTACACCCACATAAAGTAACTTGAATTCAGATTCTGATTATGTGAAATTACACAGAGGAGAGGGAGTGTGTGTTTGGTAAAGACAATTCCCTGTAGTTTCTGGGAAAGTGCTCAGACAATAGACAAAGCTGAGAAGGTCAGTGATAAATGTCAATGTGGAATAAGCCTCTGACTCTCCTTCCCACCCTTCTTTCTTTTACCATCCACTGACTCTCTCCTCTCCTCCTCCATCAGAACAAGGCATGGCTGGGAAGCCTTTCCGGGCCACCTACATCTGGGGCAGCATCATCTCCAATCTCCACACTCGCGTGCAGGTCAAGCGCCGGCGCCACAACCTGAAGTCCTACCATGACTGCTTCCTGGGCTCAGAGGCCGTGGACGTGGTGTTGGCGCACATCACCCTGAACCGTTTCTTTGGTGATGAGGCAGTGCCCCGCTACAAGGCCGTCCGTCTCTGTCAGGCCCTGATGGACTCAAGGGTGTTTGAGCCGGTGGGCATTAAAGTATTTGGGAAGGAAAAGAAGCGAGCCACGTTTGAGGACAGTAGTTGCAGTCTGTACAGATTCCTGAGCCCAACGACCAGCTCCTCCACATCGCTGACCAACGCCAACTCTCACTCCACTAGTACCATTGAGAGCGGCTATGACTCACCGAGCATGAACAGGAACAAGAACAGCTATAGTCCGTCACGTGAAAGGTACAGACTGGTGTCAAAATATCTTCAGATTGCATTTTTGATTTGCTTTGTTCTCCTTCCTCCAGAGCTAATCCCAAATCCAGCATATCTGTAGACTGCATGTCTCTAAAAACTAGTGAGGCATGACCTGGGAGTTATGTCTTGATAATTTCCAGTAACTCCCTCAATAGTGTGTGACAATGAGTTCAAACATAAACCTAAATTGCAAAATGAAAAAGTAAAATCAAAAGAAAAATGAAACAGACCGAAACCCACTGAGGTTCTTGTTTCAACACATTTTATTCGCTTTCTTGCAGAGTTGAATAAGAAGATATATATAACTCTCATGCCTGTGTGGTCAATATTAGCCAGCGTGGCTCTGTAACAAAATCTGCCTACCAGCACCTCTAAATATCACCATTTAAGATGTTATATCTTGTTATCCTATGATACCAAAACTGAAGTGTTTGTTTACAGGGGATTATGTGGCAGAGTATTTCTTGGCTGGATGTAGTGACTTCCACAAAGTTACTGAGCCCTGGCAAGAAATAGTCCGCTGCAATACCCCATGTTATATCACAATGTTTCTACACCTTAATTTTTGTAGTTTTGTTTGTGTTAATCAGTGCGCTCTAGAGGTGGTGGTAAGAGGATTTTGTCACAGAGCCAGGCTACCTGTTTCCCCGTTTCTATTCATTGTGCTAAGCTAAGCCAACTGTGGCTTAGTATTTACCGTAAAAGACGCGAGAATGGTATCAAACATCTCATCTCACTCAACCAATAATGTATTTCCAAAAACTATTCCTTCAAACTCAGTTGACTCTCCTTTAAGTCTGGAGAATTAAATTGTAGGGAGGCTGTCCAGCACGTAGCACAGACAGGCAGGATGCATGGGGTGCTAACATATGGCCTCAGCTTTGTGTTGTAATGAGAGTGGCAGCTCCAGACTGGACCTGAGAACAGGCCTGTTGCCTCTAATGGGAGATGAAAGTCTTAGAGGAACCATGTGCTCAAACAGTTTAATTAAATGAGGCTTTTGTTATTTGCAGCATGGGCCGAGTAAAGTCTTTATGGGAATAATGTAAATATACGGAAAAGAAAAGCTTCACATGTCCTATTTAATGTTCATCAGAAATTGTTCAATGCTGGAAATTGGGCATTTATTTTGTCTATTTGATTTGAGATGACCAAAATCAAAACAGCACCAAACTGTGACTGACTCACAGGTACTGGCGAACATGTGCAGCCTGATGCCACATTTGTTCCTGTAATAAGTCTGTGTTTTTTTCCCAATCATTTCCACTGATTGCTGTTATTATGTGACTCTTCAGACAAGGGGTGCTGAGTTACTCCACCCACTCTCCTGTAAAAACAGACAAATCACTGGAGGACGTGCTGGAAAACCTCAACCTGAGCTCCACCATCACCCCTCAGATGATCAACCTCGGCCTCTCGCAAGAGCGTAAGTCGCTTTCTATCTGATGAGACACAGGAGAGTGATGTAAAAACCAGTACCGTGTTTTTCATGCAGCAAATGCTCTGTCACACCATGTGTCTGTGTGTCTACGACCCTTATGGCTTTTAACTCCTGTATTTTCACAGTTGTGGATGAGGTGTGGCACCAGCAGGCAGTGTTCAGATTGTTGCAGTTGATAGAGCTCCCCCTGTTGGAAAACCTGTTAGAGGGTAAAGAGACATCACGGCCTCCCCTGCACGGCATGGACAGTGACCCGGACCTGTTGTATACATCAAGCTACCTAGACCGGGAGGTCCTCAAGGCCTTCAGTGAAGCACAGTAGGTCTTCTAAAGCTTTTACAGTTTTACAGTGTTATATAAAAGTTGATTTTTGTATTCAAATATATGTCTCTATATCAGTCCTAATTATTATTAGGTTATTATTAGTTATTTTTTACTCTTAACCAGCTGCTTTACAGACAAACTGATAATAAAATTGTACATATACTCAAGTACTGTACTTCCTTATTTTGAGGTACTTTACTTAACCTGAAAATGTTCATTTAATGCCACTTTATACCTACTTATTATACCTTTTTACTCCACTACATTAATTTAAAAGCTATAGTTACTACTTACAGTGAAGATAAAGATTTAACATGCAAAACATATTGTTACAGCAGTATAGGAGGCAGTTAAAAATAGCCTATTACATTAAACATTAAAATACCCCGCACATGCAAATGCATCAATAATAATGATCCAGTGATATAGTAATGTAACACTTACAGGGGCCATTCTGCATAATGAGTACTTTTACCTTTGATATTTAAGTACATTTTGTTGATAATACTTATATACTACCACTTAAGTGAAACTTTAAATGCAGGCCGTTTTACATTAATTTTAGTGTTGCTACTTCTACTTAAGAAAACAATCATGACAAAATGCTTCTTTTAACACTGGTTATATGTAACCTAGATGATTAAAAAAAGATTTAACCTAGATTGAACCTAGACATGTTTTCACTTGCAAATGACCAAATCCATGCTTACTTACTGGAAGCAGTTGAGGTCAAAAGCTTATTTGACCTCAGCTTTCTATCCCTCTATCTTTGAGTTGCTTCACTTTAACCAATCTGTCAGATGTGTTTAAAATCATTCCATCTCCCTCAGGGCTGATGAGTGGATGTCAGGGGCAGTGGACTGTCTAGAGTTTCTGCCTGATCAACTGGTGGTGGAGGTCAGTCGAGGTTTGTCTGCTAGCGCCGACGACCTGCTCCGGTGTAAGAGCCTGCTGTACGAGGTCCTGGCTCAGCATTACGGACGCACACAACAGCCACCTCTTCTCAGCAATCACGTTTTCGACATCCACTCTGGCATCTCGGAGCTACTCGGTAAGACCAGGAGCTATCAGATCCCTTTGGTATCCTGCTGTTGATGAGGCTTTTCTGGTGATGCATAAAAGCAGGTTTTATGTGCGTTTTCATATGTTTTCATCGTTGTATTTTCTGTGGTCTGTTTTTAGTGAACGGCAAGCAAGAGCAAGCTCTAGAGACTCTGCAGCTGAGCCTGAAGCTGCAGGACTCTCGCAGCAGGGAGGAGCTGCGCAGACTCCTGAGATTCATGGCTGTTGCAGCGAAACCACAGGAGGTCAAACTGCACAAAGAGGTGAGCGCTTGTGTGGATGTTGTGCGAGTCTGCACATGTGTATGTTAGATCTTTGTTAACTCCAAATTATTCTCTGTCAGATTGAGAACAGAATGGCGGTGAAAAGGTCTTTCTCCAGCGCCATCGTCTATAGCAGAAGACTCTCCAAAGGAAAGGTGGACTTGATGGTTCTGTTCATGATGGACAACCACCGTGATCTGTTCAAAGTGAGTGTTTCCAGTTTGTCCCTTTGCCAGTGTGTGTACGTCAGCATCTCTGCGAGAAGGCTTAGTGACTGGGTTGAAACGATGTTGATTGTTACATCCCTCCTACAAAACCTACAAAATGCTGCACAGGCTTGTTTAGGTGCAGGATTGCAACCCTGACATCAGATATTATATAGAAATAATATGTGACTGACTGTGCAAGATCACAGACAGCCATAAACTACAGAAATATAATAACGACTTGTATCATTATTCTATTAATGTTAATATTGGATCTAATAAATAGAAACTTCCACTTTAACTTCCCTTCTTTTGCTCTCTGTTCCACCAGATTCCGGTTTCATTGCACAAGATGGTCAGTGACAGAATAACAAATATCGTGAAAGGGAAGGATCCAAATATGATAACAGGTTTGTAGATTTTCCTTGTACTGCATCTACTAACGTTATAAACTGTGTTCGTTTAACCGCTGTTTGTGCATCAACTCTTCCTTCATTCCATTTCTGTTTCTCCAATCTCTCTTTACTACAGGATCAACATACTGCACAAGATTGAGTGCTGTGGCCTATTCAGAAAATGCACAAAAAACCACTAAAGAGGAACTTTGGTCCTTACTCCGAACAGTCCACGAGAACCCGAAACTATCCTCCAAAGAAAAGAGGCGGCTGCTGGGACAGTTTTATAAAGGCCATCCAGAGATTTTTGTTCAGTACTTTGGAAATAGATTGTCCAGTATCAACATGTTGCTACAGTGATATTTATTAACACTTCATGTATTATAATGTAAAAAGAGGTAGTTGTAAGAATGAACGTTAATGTGATGTAAATGATGTGCAGTATAGTTAGAGGATTTTACTTGCTAGTTTGTAAATAATTTATACTACTGAACAAGAATGTGAATTGAATTGTAGAGACTTAATAAGCTGCAATATTTAAGGACATACTGACTTGTCTTAAGTTTATTAGATATTTTCTTTGGTGCAGGACACTAACATGAAAAGTCCTTGTCAGTTATATATGAGACTGTTAGTTTCCAAGACAAAAAGAACCAAGTGTTCTTGTTTTTTTTAAATTTTTTTTATGTTTTCACACTGCAATGCGTCTTGATGGCATTCTGTGTCTGCAGCCAGTAGGGAGAAGTCTGCATATAGCTTTTCAATGGATGTATTCATTTTGCATGTGCAATAGGAACAGTATTAGCAATAGAAATGTGTCTGTTCATGTGGTTTCTCATACCATGTGATGCACAGTAGAGCTATGTCTGAGGAACGGAAATTTGAACCTGGAAATTTGAAAGTCTGATGTTGTGCTGTAGTAAACAGTCAGAGGCATTCATGAGAATCAGCCCTCTAGGTTTATTGTGTTTGTTGCAACAAATCAGCAAAACAGATGTTTGGGTTTTTGTTTTTTTTTTGGACTGAAAACCGTAGCTACGTTTTAGTGGCATCTTCAGGGTTCTGTTTTAAATAAGGTTTATGGACTCCTTCTAATCAGCTGAGGAAATCACTCCCACATTTCCAGGTGACAAAAGCATTCCCAGATGAAGTTCAAACCACACACATCTTGGCAGTTTTTTGGCTTTAGTTGTCTGACATTCATACATGTACACAAAATGTGTAGAATTTGATAAAAAGAGAACAAATGACAAGTGGTATGACAAAGTAGTACTTTGTGTCCATTCTTAACTTGATCCCAATACACGCCTTACACACGGCTTTCTCTGTTAGAAACATAATACAGTCCCCTCCTTTTTTAAAACAGAATGACATGAGCTAAGGCTTTTACGTTAGAGGTTCCCTGTCGACTTAAAACTTGAGACTATTTTACATACTGTCTGCAAAATAAAAAAATAAACTGGAAGTACTGTCATGTTGAGTTCACTCTTTATAAAAGGCCAGTACTGTTTCTTGTGATTTTGTCAGTGTTACATTAACATTTTAAGCCAAAACACACACATGCTTCCATATCGACATCCGAAGAGTCCTGTTTAAAATGCAAATAGTAGCTTATCAGTTGAACTAAGAAAAAGAGCAGTACTTTCCCTTTCCGAAACTTCCTTTCAGTTTTTGTTTTGTTGGCGTCTGACAGTAGATACGCCTTTGATGCTAGCAAAATCATAGAACTCTTTAATATGCGTGGAGTGCTCTCTGGCTGTAATCAGTGACTTGAAATTCACAGCTAACCAGAGAATGAGAACCAAAAAGCAATTACTTTGTTTGATTGTTACTGTTGGTGGGGAGCTCTACTATAACACAATTTTAGGGAAACAAATCTCATGTTAATGATTCAGAAGCTATTGAATAAAATACATTATTGTTCCTGTATTACAATCAGTTGTTTTAGTCTCTAAGAGCACTTGGCTGCTTTGCCAAATGGTGCAAATTTCAAAGTAGCAATCAGACTTCATTATGTGGCAGTAGAGTGGTGTTCCTACATAGACTGTTTTATGGCACCAGCGACGAGGCTCAGAGCTGAGATATAATAACCTTGTCAGTACAAAGGCTGTGCTGGGCAGACAAATAACGACGTCATTCGGCCCAATGAGAAAAGAAGCAGCTGGCCGATATTGAAAAATTGTTTGTCACAACTAAGGAACTGTTTAAAATAGTTCAAGGTGAAAGGTTTGCCTTCTTTACAAATACTGTAAACATTTTTAGATGGCATTTTCAATCTTTAAGTCTAAAATGCTAACAAAAGCAAACAGTTTCCTTAAAAGGTCTAGTGTGTAATATTTAGGAGGATGTAAAGAAATGGAATATAATATGTACCATGTTGAACCACCATGTTTCTACAGTAGCCCAGAACTCTGGCTCTGGATAGAGGTGTTGACTACGGCGCTGTTGTTTCTCCTTCACACTTGAAAGGGAAAGGTGAAGCAACTAAACTGCTAAATGCTACTAAATCCTACACACTGGTCCTTTAATAAAGGCTATTCAAGGTTTTCAAAGCTATCTGGCTTTTGTGTACATTAGTTAAATATAAGCCTATGAAACCCTGCTGTCTTGCATAGAGGGAACCTGATTGTTTGAACAGAGGATGATTGGTACTTTCAGATAAAAAAAGTGACATGCTGCCCCCTAGTGGTAATGATACAGCCTGGGCCAAAACAAAAGTCATAATAAAATGTCCAGTCACTTTCAGTAAAATACAAATAAATCATCAGTACTGTCAAATAAAAAGTCAAATCTGGTTGAATTCTTTTCCTCTTTTATTGAAAGGAACTGTGTTTCCTCCAGTTATCTAAAAAAAAAAAAAAAATCCACGTTGCCATCACTGGAACATCACAAGGCCAAAACTGAGCTGTGTGCCAAAATCAATGGTTGGATTAAAAATTTTGTACAGTATAATGGTCAGTCTTTAAAAATAAAAACTGTTGACAAAAAAGCCACAAGAACACTCAGGTGTGCATACTGTATGTATGTGTGAGTGTGTATATGTATGCGCTCCTTCGGTACAGAGATCAACGGATGTATAATCTGTCAGACGCACTCAGAAATGTGGACATGTACGTTTACTCCATAGGACCACCTGTTACATTACATTCTTGTAGGATTCAGCGCGTGTTTATCGAATCCTCTTCTGTTGGCGTGCGCGGTAGATGTCGTGTATGGGCGGAGCCACGGCTCCTTTGTCATCCTCCTCGTCGGAGTCTGCGTTAGGCCTCTTGAGTGACTTGGCAACAGCATGGTTCTCCATGGATCCATTGCCCTCCCCTCCTGCATCGGGCTGCCTGCCAGTGATCAGCTCTACAGCAGCATCAACAGCTGTACAGACAGAAAAGACATCAGTAATGTGTCAAACGGGGGGCAGAACAACATTTTGACATTTTATGGGAATTCATCTAGTAGCTGTCAAGATATTTCACTCTGTGTTTGATCAATTGCAGGATCACTGACATTTCCATCACCAGATGGGAGTGTGGCTTATGTGGCTAAAAATAGAAGTGGTCTGGATTGATCGGAAGTGCTGACAAAAGCAACTTACTCTCAGGAAGTGTGCATCTCCTGAAACTTTCCATGAGCTCATCCACTTGAACAAAAGGACCCTGCAGCGAGAAACAACAACAGACTCGTTGCAGTCTCGTAAAACAAACATTTTATTCATTACCAGTAAAAATTAGCTCAATAGTATTAAGCTGCTGCTACTCACAGTGAAGCACGTAGGTGGAGGGAGCAGCTTCATTAGGACAACAGCAGCTGGGGGGACTGGAAAAACTCCACCAGGGACAGGGTGTAAACCTGGAGCTGCGGGGAGGAACACAGGATTGCTAACATCAAAGATGAATCCATTTATGCATTTAGTAAGTGTGGAAGAGACAAGGATTCAGTACATGTAAGACTAATGCTAATGGGTTTCACTGATTCTTTACAACATCAAATGGATTAGAGAGAAGACCGTGGGCAGCTATGGGCTACGTACGGGCGAGGTGACGTGGCTGGAAGGGGATCATCTGATTGGTGTCAGGTTTGGGGTACTCCGGTTTCCGGTCAGCTTCGTCTTTTTGTGCAGGTGTAGAGGGTGTGACCACAGTCTCTGGGAGCATTGCTGCCAGTTTGGCACGAGACACATCCTGCAAACACCCAGTACAAACTGTTTTAAATATCAGGTGAGAGGCTGATGTGCATAACGGCTTTGGAAGCAAAAGATGTCATGTTGTGTCAACTATTAAGGGCAACGTGCGCACCTTGTACCCAAGGGCTTTGAGTTCACTAGCAGAGCAGGGATACAGGTCCATGAACTTGTATCTATCTACAAGCAAGGCTGTTTCTTTGCCCTCGTACTCGTCCTTGAATGCAGTGAATCGCCTGCGCTCCACTTTCAGAATACTGGCCAGGTCTCCTATGTTGCTCTCAAAAGCCAGGAACCGAGCCCAGACCTCGCTGAAGAATAAAAAAGCAACAAACACATCAGCAAACATCGTCAGAGATATGGATTATTAAATCACTTGCATACATGCATGCAACTTTAATACAATTCTTGTCATTACCCTGACTTTTCCGGTGACAAGCTTCCTGAGGTGAGGACGCGTTCAAACAGAACCCTGGTGTTGTTATCCTCTGGAGAGAGGGGGGAAAAACAGGGTTACACAGTTATCTTCCATTACTATGACAATAATGGAGGAGAAATCTTTCATTTTCTGACAGCTGATAACCAGGACATCACTGCTTAGTTGAATGGATTAGTAGTAAAAAATGTATTTCTTATATTCTGTGGATTAGCTATCAATTTCATTACACATAACCTACCATTAAGATGCGAGAGGTAATCAATGTATGCCAGTATGTACTCTGGAATGTCACCATATTTCTTCAAACCAAGCTCAAAAATCTTGAAGGCCACCGATTTATCCTGTATGGAAAGAGTTTACACAAAAAAAAGGCAATTTGTAAGACTGATTTTAGTCACACTGTACGTATACTAAACATGGGATCATGTGTCCTTACCTTGCTGCAGTAGTACTCCATCAGTGCTGCTGTCACATACACATGGTGGCGCGTGCGTAAATCCTCTCGGGCCTTTTTGAAGATGGTGCGACCTGATTTGATCCCCTCTGCTCTCCTGGCAAACTTCATGTACTGAATGTAGACCAGTGTGGGATCAATGTCCTCAATGGCCAGCAGTTTATTATAGATGCTGTGGACCTTCTCATACTTCATGCGACTCTGTGAAGAAAGAAAGAGATTGTATGCTGATGAGTCCCCGTGTCTCTTACTGTCTGACTGATTTCGATTTGTGATGAGTAAACAATTGGATACTCACTTCTTCGTAGTCGGCAAATGAAAAGTACAGTAGCATGTTCTTCTTCAGAAGAGTCCCGATGGCACGTTCGTAGATGTTAGCTGCCTCGTCGCTAAACAGCTTGGAATTATTCATATCCTGAGAGAAGAAACGTTTACATTTACAGGACAGTTAGTTGAAAAATACTCCACAGGAGTCTGAAATGTTTGATCTCGTACCCCTTTCTCTGCCAGCAGTTTGCTCGACTGCTCCAGGTACTGTGCTGCCTCATACCATACATCAGGATGGTGGCCGAGCACCAGCAGGCACTGCTCATAGGCAAACATCACTGCCACACAGAGCACAACAACAGGTGATGAGTCACAAAATACAGAATCAATGCATCCGAACCATGAGTGAGAAGAAAGGCGTCAACCTGCGCTCTCTAGTGGCTGCAGTGGCACAGGACATGCATTATGTATAGCCATTGAGTAAAAAAAATAAATTAAAACCAGGCCTTTCTAGGCATATGTAGCAGAGATTTACAAACTAACACAATATTTCCTGACAACAAATAGTCACCTCTCTTTGTGATGAGGGTCTGGTCTTCTGTGCGCAAGGGGTTACTTTTTTCCCACTGGATGTACTTCTTCCACATTTCCACTTGCTGGGCTTCCTGAGGGGAGTTCTGGGGCGGTACCGAGGGCGCATTCCTGTCCAACCCCTTCATCACAGTCTCATACTCCTGAATTATGCAAACCATGCAACAATCTGTATTAGCTTACAAAGACAGCCTGACGTTTCAATACATAGCACTGGGATTCAAACAGGTCTGTGCTTATTTGTAACACTTGTCTCACCTTTGCCACTCTCCTGGCGTTCATGTAGTCTCTACTTCGATCCTCAATCATCTTTTTGGCCAAGTGCACGTTGATTCCCTGTTCATGAAATAACAAGTCAGTCGTTAAACAACTAAAACTCCATATGCAAACATATGTGGGTAGACAGATTAAGGCCAGCGGCTTGGGTGGGTCACTCGCCTCTTCATATTTGCTATAATCTCTCCAGAGCTGCTCAATGTTGATCATAGGGTTTACACAGCCTCTCTGGTACACCCGCCGTACTGCAGTGATCCGTTGGTTCTCTGCGTATGAGCCCACAGCCTCACTAATGGAACGCAAAACACAAAAAGGTCAACATTTAAGAGTTGGCTAACGCAGTTAATGAAGTCTCACAATATTACAGGGAAAAAAATACACTTACACTCCTTTGAGGAAGTTGATGTAGTCCACCCAAATCTGGGAGAGGAGAGTATAGAAGTTAGGTGAGAGCAGTTTACAGAAACTCATATACACCTGTATGAATGCATAGTTCAGATCTGTGTACCTGGTAAGACATAATCTCCATGCCGATTTTATCCAGGGCAAAGTCGTACGCCTGGGCCATCTTCTCTCTGAGGATAAGAAAATAAACGCATGAAGTAAAATGTTTTGTTTTTTTTACAGTACGGCGTAATCAATCCCACTATGATGCATGTTTTCTTACTTGTAGCTGGGCAGCTTTCCTTTGGTCTCTCGAACATATGAGAGGTAGCATTTCCACAGGTCAATGTGCAAGACTTTCATTAGACATCTCTGAAACAACTACAGAGGCAAGAATACAGGAAGATAAAATAACTGGAATGGACACACAAAAACAAATTTTATATAGTGTATTTATTCTACAATACAACCACCCGTCTTTAGTTCAAACTATCGTGGCGATCACTAGCGCCATATCCCGAGTAGGAGGATTACCAATGCACCCAGGAAAACCCAGAAAAGCAGTTTTTACGTCAGCCCATATGGCAGATTTGGGCGAGTTCCAGGTTTTACTCAGCGTAGCTGTGCAGTGCACTTCAGTTATCCTGCTTCATTAGACAGGCCTCAGATGTGGCCTACATTTCTCAAATGAAAACACCAGTGTTTGAAGCTTGTTTGATGGATATGAATGTCTGATGTGTCAAACTGAAATTCAGACAAAAACTAAACCGGATACACTCACATCATTTATTAAAAGTGGAAAACCAGTGACAAACACATCAGTTCCAAATCAATGCAGAATACATATATTAAAAATTCAATCATGGTAATCATTTCTTGACCTAATCATAGAGCTATGGTAGTACAAACTACAGTAGATACAAAATAATAGTTGCAAGTGAATATGCAGGGAAATCATCTCAAAAAACCAAAAAAAGAAACACATTTTTAAATAAGACATTTTCTCTCATTTGCACATTGTGCTTGTTAGGACCAAATAAACCATCCACATGTTTTAGATGCCTTACAATACGATGGCGATTTTATTGGAACTTATCGTAACATGTATGCATATTCTGGCCACAAACCATAAAAATCAGAAAATGAAGAAGCTAGACTAATTAGAAACAGTCAGAAGACCCTTCCCAGGTATCAACATTACACCAACCAGCTTGAGTGTGAAGGACACTTACCTTTTCTACCTTGTCATAGTTTTTAGCCTTGATCTGCAAATAAGAGTGTAAATGCAATATTAATTCAAACGTCTCCTCTACTTTTATGGCTTACAGGAAACATGCATTCATGCAAATGTGACCACTCACACACATAGACACACACACACACACACACACACAGGACCCTTAAGATCAACAAAGTGAAATTCACACAAGAATGACAAACTACTTTGAAAAAGGGGGGTTTATTTTCTTTATAGATTGCGCCACATGACCCAGAAACACACCAGTGACCACGGTACAGAAAAAAATCCCAAAATTTCAGAATGCAGATTTTAAATATTGATTTTAAGAAAAATACTGAAAAGGTGCCCCAAATTTGAGAAATACAGTATGTGACAAAAAAAATCTCTTCCTTTCAAAGCCTTATGTTGCAGCAATACATTTCATATTGCCTACTGCTGATGAGTTCGAAGTAAAGGTCTCCCAGCTTCCTCCATTACAGACAGGAGAGGCTGTTCTGTGTGGTATTAGCACCTCGGGCCTATGTGGACAGAACTATCCTATCCCATTGTGTTCACATTACTGTTCTCCACAAAGGGAAAAAGCAGATTAAACTAGCCTGGAAGTGACTTGTAATAAAAGCTTACATGGCAGTTAAATATCACCATGGTACAGAGGAACTACAGTGCACTGCTGTGAGATGGTTTCGCAGTGGCTTCAATAAGTAAGACGTTACAGTGACAGAAGCTGAATTATTAACAACATAATGGCGTTGCTGGTTAAAGTTTAAAGCCACGCCTGCACAATGAGGCTTACAAAATGCTGTCAATAATATCCACACAATATTAACGACTGAATTCCACCCTGTCAGGTTGGTTGAGTGACATGCTGTAAATAAAGTGAAACATAAATTTATCTGTGGGCGTCCTGGTACATTAGTGCAGACGTATTTAATATACTGTGATTGCAAGCTGGTTCGATCCTCTCTCTCTCTGTATCCTGTCACCACTCAACTGCCCACTATTGATCAACAGTCCAAAAAAAAACACAGTATTTATCTTTATCTACATTGGCATCCACAAGTCTGAAGGAAACTGCAACATTTATCAATGCAGGGTGAAAAGTTCATTTAGGTAATTTATGCATTTAATGAACAAAGCGACGCAAAATTCGTACATGTTCCTGCATGCATTTCACGCAAATGGCCAAAAAAAAACACATTCAAATTTGGGAACCTCTACACTGGACCCTTTTCCAGGAAATGTATTTCTTGAAGATGAATTTTGTATATATATGTAAATGCCAACTGCAGTTTGGAGTGCCTTTAGGGTACTGTCCCAAAAATACAGATTGACCTACATTACTTGCTCCTTCCAGGCACTGCAACAGCACATCTGACACACTAAGCTTTTCACCTTCATTAGAGAAGAGACCAAGCAGAATGTAACCTCTAGTAGTCAGAGGAGGGGTGTGGTTTTTAGAAAATGCCTCCGCTGCTGAAAATTTTTATTTTTAGCCAGCCGGTTAATTCGCCTGGAACACATTATGTTATGTCTCAGATACACAATCTGAAATATTTTATTGTTGTTGACAACTATGAAGGTGTAAACTCTGTAGTCTCCCAGAATCAGTCAAATGTGAGTCGTTACAACAACCGATACAAATCCTAGATGTGTCTCCCTGAGCTACACTGACATACATCAGCTCGACCTGCACTTTAGACTGCAATAATGGTATAATGTGCCATAGATCATCCTCCTGGAAGGAAGTTACTGCACCTCTACAGGCTGCTTTATGGTTGGGTCTTAGTATTTGGTTACCCAACAGCCCTATAAAGCACAAACTACTATCCTCACTGCCAGAAAAAAAATGTACAACACACCTATATGATATAATAAAGTTAATAATTAAAATATGAACTCAAAATTATGCAAACACATAATTGGAAGTCGGAGGCAGAGAGAGAGGTAGGAAGCAGAAAAAGAGTAGCGAATCCCATTAGGAAAATAAATCATGACAGCTTCACTATTCGTGAAAGACGACTACACTAAAATTCTCTGGCAACCCAGTTTCTTAAAAAAATTAAACAACCATACTGAATAAAAATGATGATTCAGTGATCCAATTTTCACACTACTGAATGATATTGATATCTTTCTTTTTTTTGCCATTAACAAATGTGAAACTGTACTAATTCTATAATCCAGCTGTGAACATACAGAAGAGATTTGAGTTTTTTAGTTCCTGCTGGTTTCTCCCACCCTGATTTTTTAAAAGCATGACTCTTGAAATGGTGTCAAAGACTAGAACATATTTACCACGTTTAAACATGTTATCAGGGGCAAAAATATAATTCAACAATGAACTCTAACGAGCATTGTGTCAGACAGCATGTGCTGGAAACCTACACTCAAGGGCATATTTACTTTTACTGCACTGTGTTTCTGTCACTCAGTTTGTAACTACTACTCTATGAGAGTTTCCAAATTGTTAAACTTATAGTTATAACCTACATGTAGTACTTACCAAATAAGATAGTTGTCTTAATACTATGAATTGCAAATGAGTTCTAAGATTAAAATATACTAACACAAGCCATGGACTAAAATTCAAATTTTGTATCTTCACTGGTTTTTAATACAGTGAATAAATCAAACTTTGTGCCAATTCAAACATACAGTCTGTAATTTCAGCAAACATTAACTTCTACGAAAACATGCCAATCTAGTATCTTAGGTCGTGTTTCTGGCTAAATAAAAATAGGTTAAAAAAAAAAAAGGTAATTGGCTGAAATGAAGTTGTAACGGGTTTTTAATAATATGAATAATAAAATATATTTAAAGGGATTGGCTTATTCTTGGTATAATCAGCTCCTCAGTTTTTCTGCCCACTTCCACTCTAACTTTCTATTATAATGGTATTCTGAGTATTTCTATGGTGGGAACCTAAAACCAAAAGCCTAATTAATGTTTCTTTAATTTTGTTTCTAATGTTAACACTGATTTCTAATCTGTCAACTATAGATGCACTCGTCATTTAAATTGTCCCCATACTGCACAGATACTTTAGGTAATAACCCTCCCGCCACAGTCCAAAGCGGCAGCTGTATGAAATTCTTAACATTTAATTTCCAAAAATGTTTTCTCTGTCTGGGAATATTACAAATATTTTGTAAAAAACATATGGGGGTATTAATGAGCTTGTTTAAACCCATCTAAATATGAACTACCACCTATAAATGTACTTGGCTGACACACAAATAGAGCTTCAGTCGTGTCAGGATGTTGCTGTAATAAGTGCTCTGCTCTGGCTTTTTTTAGGTTGTTGCTGGCTGTCATCTTGGTTAGAGGGGGTAATAAGTCAGTAGTGTGGAGGTTGACACTGATGCTGTACTAGCACAAGTACATTTAGTGCCATCTGTAGGCTAGACTGAATTATTAAAAGGACTGCTCCTGAGAAGCCTCGTCCATTTGGAAAAGGCAGCAATGTGTTCTTTTTCCATTTCATAACATATATATGTGTCCATTTCATAAAATATCACTCCAGGCCTTTTCTTGCACTGGGTAATCCAAAGAGGTGAAGACTGGTATGGGGAATAGGAGGGGAGGGGGAGAGGGGGAGGTAGCTTCACCCAGGGGAGCAACCCCACAACAACAAACCACAACCATTACAACCTCAACATACAGAAACATTCAATTCACAGCATGGAGTTAATCATTTGCCAGAACCACACACTGGATTTTTAAACTAGAAGCTAAATTCTGATGCTTGGTAATGCTGTGCAACTTTGGACAAAGCAATGTGTTTAAAACCAGTTGCAGTTGTCGTCTGCTGAGGTAGAGGGCATCAGAAAATGCACTTTCACCAAGTTAGCAAAAAAAATGATTATGTGGATGGGTATATGAATCATCCTACCAGTAGCTGATTGCATAATAGCAAAGCCTGTTGATGGCATCATGGTAATTGGGTGACTTGTCATATATTCAGGAGGGGTGGGGAGAAATGGGCCACACAATCAGAATATTTGTTTATAAAATTACCCGAAAGAAATGACACAGGAGGCAATAAATTGACACGACAAGTGAATAAAAGGCTAATGCACTCCAATACCATTAAAATAGTTTTAATACTGTTGCAGACCAAACATGCAACAAATGCACTTTTACCCCATTTAAATATGACGCAGAGAATATGTATTTTTTAAATCCTGGGAACATAAGAAAAATGTTCTGAAAAAGAAATGGTTAGACCTAATTTCCCCTTTGTTTGTGTTTAAAGGCACAATTCTTGATGAGTCTTGCTAGAGCCCGACAATTTAAGTGTTTTTACGTCACTCTACGCTCAATCCAGGGCCTTCATTGCGTAGGATATGTAGGATGCGTTCAGGTCAAAAGGCAAAAGGTCTTTATTCATTACTCGTGTGATGAATTCTATACAGGTTAGAGGTGCGACCATAAAATGTAGCCAGGCCTAGTGATTCAGAACAAGAATTGTGACTTTAAATGCCATTGAATTAAGAGACATTTTGTTTGTGTGAAAATCACATTGTTGATCATGTTAGAAAAATTCCCAGCCATGCACACTAAAGAAAAGAAAGAGTATTAACCTCAGCTTCAATGAATAGTTTCCAGAATCTGCCAGAACTTGGGAACTGCGTGACAAGTCGCTCATATGTCTTCCTTGCTTTATCTATGGGTTGGTTCTAAAGAAGGAAAATGCATTTACATTCCACACTATTTAACATACGAAGAAGCAATCGTGTGGGGAGAAAAAGATGAAGTGCTTTGTATCTTAACAGTCTACAACCCCTAGCCTCCCTCCCCCCCCTCCACCCGCTCTCCCCCAGTTTGCTTAACCCCAGGAATGCAACTCTGTGTCACTAAACCTGTGCTTCTCGAATCAGAATGCTCCACGCGTCAAGGTCATATGGGTTTTCTTCCAACTTCTTCTCTGCCTTCTTCACCTTCTCTGGAATATACTCTGCCGCAGCCTGCAACACAACACAAATGGCACAGGACAAAGGGGTTATGATGCTGAACAGACTTGCAGTGGACTGTGATACAGTAATGTGGTGACGACCCCCCCCGACTGGAGAGGGCCAACATAACACTAAAATACAGGCTTATTATCTAGGGAGGGACTAAGTATTGATTAATGGGGCCTGAATTATTGGCCACGCCCCTGCAGTATGTGGTAAAAAGCGACTCTTGCGGCGATTAGATCAATAAATCAAGTTACAAACACTGAATACAGTTCTTCAACTGGCTAGCTAAGTCTTTATAGCTGGCACCACTGAGCACCCAGCGCCGCGAAAACTAGAACAAGTAACGCTGACTAACTTTAAGTAACGGCGCATTAATACTATCAGGTAACCCGCAGGTAACGCTGAGTTAGCTCGACGCATTAACATTGGACACATATGCTAGCGACGACAATGCTACCGTTAGCCAGTCAATATGGCGCACGGCAGGCTAAACTTACAGCTTTACGACAAACCCCGACATATCTTCGTAACTGAGAAACACTGACGCGTGGAAACTCGCAACACTATGCATGCACTGCAGTATAGTTTACTTGCTACCACGCAGCGACACACAAGCTAAATGGTGCTACGGTTTCAGTGAGGGGTTAGCTTGCCGCTTAGCAGAACTGCATGTAGCTACCTGGTCGGCTGTTCCCTCGGTGGACATGGCTGGAAGAGGAATCTAGGTTAGAAGTGTTATGTCAGATGGATTGACGCTCAAATAATAACGTGATGGCAGTTTTTTAAAAACGGCTAAGTAATCGGCATAGCTTCAAAAGGGTCGATCACATTGCCCTCGAGCAACTCGCTGTTCAATAGCCGATATCTCTCAAAATGGCGTGAAACCTGTGTTCCGCTCCGCCAACAGCAACAACAATAACACTTCCGGCGCGGATCCTTCAAAGTAAAACATTAATCGTAGCAAAACTAATCTGGCTGAAACGCCTTAAAATGTGCACAGTGACTGCGCAAATTATATTTTGCGATATAATACAGCATTTACTCACACTATGTCATTTTGTCAGAAAGGAATTGATATAGGTGGCATGTGTTGTACTGTAGCATTTGAATGGGATAGACTTGAGTCGCCTATTACAAATCAGATGAGGCATCATTTTATAGCCTCACATCTGCTCAAGTATCCACTAGCATACGAAACAAACATACATTAAACATACATTAAACCTATATTAAAATCAAATTTAAAAAATTAAAAATTAAAATAAAAAAATTACAATTAAAATAAAAACTTAAAATTAAATGAAATTAAAAAAGGATGTATCTTCTATGTTATATTAATCTATGTGTTGCTCACAGCTCCCCTTGTGCCCACCCTATTCAATACCTACTCTCAAAGGCTAAAGATGTAAATAATGTTTTTTAATGAAAACATGAGCAAATCTTGTTTAACCATTGTGTATATATGTTTATGCATGACAAGCACGTGCCTTCAGGTGACTCATATGCAACTGCAAACCAAGTCGCAGTGGCCATTAGAAAAATACGGCTCTTAATATCTGTAATACCTTATAACTCATATCCATACGGTTTATGTTTGTATGTAGGACTCTACCAAATTGTATTATGGTGACTTAAATCACAAAAACATCATACCGTCAATGGCAATAACGCCACAAAAGCTCGTTTTATAGCCCACTGCACAATGCTGGCCACCTCGCGGGCCGGTAGGGGGGGACAAATGATAGCCACCATGAGCGCGCGCTTGTGTGTAACTGGTCAACAACTCCAAACAGACCAGAGCAACAGACCACAGAGCAGTTACCTGATCACAAGTGAACTTTTTGTCACCTGTAAAGAAGAGCACTCATTTTAAATATGCCATAAGGTCTTAAGAGTGGAAGTGCTAATTGAACAACGTTTTTTCACACTATTCTGAGCTTTATTGTGATTGAGTCTTGGTGGAACCAACATTTGTGGAGCAGAATAAACAAAATGAACCTCATGCCCTGACATGATAGTTGGATAATGTGACATTAGTGTATGTTTGCAGGACAGTGTTAATGAAGTCTTCTTTGTCAGTATTAAATAATATATCATGCACAACTGCCTGGGATGAGACTGGGGGTGGGGGCAACATATCCCAGCTCTCCAGGAAGCACCCTTGAGTCTTCCATGAGAAGCTCAAAGAACATACAGGGGGGCTTCTACTCATGTGACCTAGTCTGCATTTCCTATTATACCACCCCAGCTGTGTTTACTCATGAGGTACCAGGTTACTCAAGAAGTGTTCACACCTGCTTTCCAGCTGACCAGGTTTGGAGGCTTATTGTCTGTAATTGGGGCTGGGGAGGACTGGGAAAGACAAATGCCTTTTGGTGGATTACATTACAGCTGGTCTTCTCAGACACTGGGGGCTAATTTGCAGCTTACTTTGTCAGCTGGGTGCCTCCTGACTGTCTGGGCAGAGCTTGTGCTCCCCCACTAATTTCCTTAAGAACTGCTGTTGACACTTTGTAAAAGAACTGAGAAAATCATTATTATCATTAGGCTACATTCTTCCATTTCATTTTCAAATATCAAATTTGCAGTCAATTTTAGAAACTGATAAATGGAGTCACCCTACTAATATCATACTGGCAATATACCAAATGCTGATCTATCACTTTAATTTGTTTTATTAACAAGTCACATTAAACTGCAACACCCCTGATCACACCAATCCATTCCTTCATTCATCCTCTATATTTTAAAATACACATAATTTCACATTCACACTTTAGTTTCAATTTTCAGATTACAGTGATTGCATGGGAAACGAACATTTTAATTCTCAAATATAAATAAGACAATGTGTGTCTTCGTATCGTCTCCCAAAATGTTTAAATACTGTGATGTTCTTGTTCTTATTAAGACATATCCTCCACTTTTTGTCCTATTACATTGTATATTATTGTATCCCCGAAGCTTTGTGACCGTATATGCTCGCCAGTCGATTACTCTGGTCTGACCAATGCCGTCAGTTCACAAACATTTGCTCGCAGTTGCTAGAGAAAAGGGACATGTTAGAGGCTGGCAGGCCCGCGGAACCGCACGTCGAGTCGGGGTAACGGACACCCTTTCAGAGATGGGCTACTTTGCCCAACGAGGAAGGAGAAGAATTTGAACTGTGTAGCTACAACCTGGGCTCGGCGTGGTGTTTCTGGACGCTTATATGCAGGAGTTATTTAATGTTTAAAATGTGGGAGATGGTGTCGTTACCGAGAGCGAGCTCTCCCTTCCTGTCGTCTAGGACAAGATGGCAGCAGTGCAGGCGAACTGTGCATGGTATGGATTTATAAGTCCATAACATGTTCAGAGAAGCCCTGGATTATACTTATAGTGACTCTATGTGAAGGTAAGTGGTCGAGTGAAGGCTGCCAGTGGTGATATTTGTATAGTTTAACATTTGAAACCATACTTTAAATGTGACGTAATACAAAGTCATAACTTAGCTACAAACTCAGCTAGCCAGCTTTTTGGCTGTGTGAGGTTTCAACTGTTTGGACGTTTACCATCGTAACTTACGTCGCTATTTCTGTCAGCACTTTGCGGTAATGCATTTACTAGTGGTGAGTTATTTTAATTATCTATTTTTAATATCCCGACAAACAGCGGCAGCGATGACGTTAGTGGTGATAATGAACGTGAGTGCAGTGGACGGTTGCTGTTTCACTGTTGTCACGGCGACCCGTTTATTTCTGTTTAACGCGTTGCTTAAGTCATTAACTAACGTTAACTAACGTTATGTTGTTCAGCTTACTGGCGTTAGTAACGTTAGATTCTCCTACAATGAACCCACCCTGAATGGACAACACGGATCGAGTGACTCAACTTGTGGGTGCTGTATGACTTCATATATGTTCGATAACACTTGGAAGATAATGTTAACGCTCAACCATTATCATAGGTAACGAAACCTTTACAATGTACAAGATCTATGAATGTACTCACGCGGTTTTCTTCTGGGTATAAATGTGTGCGTGTTGTCTAGTAATGCCACCTGTTACTAATCTATAGTCATTAAACTGTAAGGGCAGTTGTATTGAGGGGTAACTACAGGTGTGTTTATCGTACTGCGTACTGTTGGTTCGTGTTATTGCAAGGCTCTTTCAAAACTAAGTGCGGCCTCCGGCTAAATCCTGGTCAATGTTTTAAGTCTTATCGAGGATTTTGTTCACTGTGGCTGGTTTCCCGTTCGTTGTTGAGATGGCTCCTCTGCCATCACACCCTAGCCCGATTGTCAGATAAAAGATAAATGTTATAAGAATTCAAAACTGGAATTATTGTCAGGTTTATCCTGATAAAACGTGGTAAATAATATACCGATTTTTGGACTTACAGCCCACAAACAACTGCATTAAACACTAAATTCAGCTTAGTCTGTTACCGACAACCAACTTGGTCTTGTACCACGGTGAACGTGTTGGCTTCGTGTTAAACATGGCAGGTATAGGGTTTCGACATCACCAGCAAAACCCAAGTGTCATATATGATTGTAGGCAAGATAGTTTGCATCACCAGCTATTTATGTGGCAGGGGCCATCACTTGGAGTGTCTGGTCTCACTGAAACTGGATAGAGAAATTCAAGGCTCACAATGTGCCGTGTAGACCTAAAAGTCAATGTAGTTTCCCCTTTATGATAGTGCACTTCTTCTTTTGTTGGCCTGATATGACACAGGTAACATAGGGATAACATATTGTGGATGTGTGTGTTTTTTTTTTTGCTATGCTAAGCTGAAAAATCCCAGTGTTACAACAGGCACTGACTGGAAGTTTTGACTGGTTTTTCTTTTAAGGAAGACATGGCTGCTGAGTTTGGTCTTAAAAGTATCCACGTGGATGCTGTGAACCTTTTCAGACAGCACGATGAGTACTTACAGAGCGCCACTGTGCTGCTATGTGTGTGTGATTCCTCTTTGCATAGATATTCCCGTCTACAGTGCGTGTGGCACATTCCTCAGCTTATCAGTAGTAAGGCCACGAAGGCAAGGTTGTGGGTGATAAGGATACCAGCAATGCCAGAAGAACGTCGGCACAGTGTGGCCAGTAAATAAACGCGTAAACAGTGTTTTCCCCTGCGATCACTGGTAATTAGTGGCTAATGTTGGTTATTAGTGGGGTTGGGGACTTGGGAACATGTGATGATGATGTCATGCTGCACTGATCTGCTATACTGGAGGCAGCCGGTCGTCTGTACTGCATTGTGGCCACCTTTTAAAGGCTGGTTTCTGAGTGATGTCATCTTGAGCTGTACGTGCAGACAGTGGGGCCAGTAAACGACACAAAATGATGGAAAGTCAATGGGGAGAGTACCATGACAAGAAGATGTGAGGTAACTCACAAAAATGACGGGTGGAAAAAGTCCCAAGAAGTAAACATCTGTTCCAGCACGCGGTACATAATTACTTGTATGCATCCAAAGATCTGGTCAGAGCCCTGGCTTTTAATAACACAGGAGATGTTTTTGTCCTGAAACTGGTGAAGAGAAAATATCAGGTTTCAAGCTGCTGTGTTTATGGCCGTTTTTAAAGAGCAGTGTACCAGTTAGTGTTGTGCTGATCGATGTGAGGGCTTGTTGTTGGGTGTAGCGTTTCAGTCTGAGCAACTTGGTGACAGGTGTTACATGTTTGATAGAGGCGATAGACTGGTGGCTTTGAACGCAAAATGCATTCATTTATTTTTTACCGAAGAAATAAACACAAACGGTCAGTTTCATGCGTGTAGTCTGTTTTCATGTTTCCCTGTGGCTGATAAATAATTGTACTTGTTCAATTTTGTCTTTGCGTATCGTCGCTTAGTAAAACCTTACCTACACGCACGATTTCAGCTGTCTGAAATTCAACATTTTTCCACTAGACATCTGGCATACAGCTAGT